AACAAGTAACGACAAAACTTAACAATAACAATCGAAAACAACAAAAATTGCGTGCGATCGCAACACGACACAAATCGATAAGTGTACTCGTCAATCAGTCTTGATTTGTTAACGGTACTAAGTAATCATTGAAAACAATGACGTCACCAAAATGGCCGCCTGGCACATTATCAATTTGCGGGGATTAGAAATACTAATGACATTTTAATGAACATTTGTGCGACTGGCAGTTTCAGAATTATTTGTTGCATTAATAGAAGAAATAATTACCTTCTGTACCAGCTCGGTTTGTATAGTGTGAAGTCTATAGCTGCTGTACCGTACTCGCATAAAGTGCGTGCAATGCATACTCCTTGCAGCGCATGCGCCGAAATACAATTAACTGGAGCTGCTGTTGTCACTGTGGAACAATTAAACATCATTATGATAAAGCAGCTTTGTTAAATCGTTACTAGTTTTGATATGTATGTATTTTTGTTAAATAATATGTGAATGTAAGTATATAAATATATTATTTTGTATGTATAGTCTAAAGGGAATATTAAATTACGTTTTCTTTATACTTATAGTGAAGTATCTATCTAAAAAAAAGTTCACTTCTGTTGTGCACCCTAATGACTATTTGTCTTCACGTTACCCTAAGGTTGACTGATAGAAAATGCATACGGCATCAACTCCGACATTGTACATTTGTGCAAGAAGTATCAATAAATAAAGTTGCTAGTAGCGAAAAGTAACAAGTGCTTGAAAAATTCGTCAGTCTTGTTAAGTCCTAGGTAGCACAGTGGTTAGAGCGGTCGGTCGGATTGCGAAAGGCCGTGAGTTAGAACCTCATCTCTGAGTACCCGGGGCAAGAGTATATTTCAATTTTCTCATTGAGAATATTTTTCAATATAGCATTGTGGATACAAAATTGATAAATTATAACAATTAAAGACTAATGGAAAATACTTAAAAATCCCAGGTACCCCGAGATAGCGAAGTACCCCCAGAAGTAGCTCGGTGGCGTAGTGGATAAGCGCCGCGGCCCGCGATCGTAGTCGTTAAGCAACTTTCGCAAGGGTCGGTCAAGGGGTGGGTGACCAAAAAATTATTATCTCGAGCTACTCCGTACTTCGGAAGGCACGTGAAGCCGTTGGTCCCGGCTGCATTTGCAGTCGTTAATATCCTTCAATCCGCATTGGGCCAGCGTGGAGGGTCATGGCCCATCCTCCTTAACCATCCGTGATCAAGGCCTGAGCCCCTGCAGTGGGAACGTAAAAGGGCTGGTGATGATGATGATGACCCCCAGATGATACCACATATAATAGACATTTTATCTTTAATTGATGTTAGCGCCTGAACACATTCAAAGGACTTAATTGCACATCATTGAATCGATATGACGCTCGGGCCATCATAACGCGTCACTGAGCATACTTCGTAGTGAGCCGATCGAATGAGCTACTGTATGATTCATTACGAGCGCAGTTGCATTTATCGAGCTCATGGGCTCCCGGAAGTTTCTGCGATATTATATCTACCTGGCTTATGAATAAGTTTAAACATATAAAGCTGAAAAAATCTTCTGTACAATTGATTTATTTCATATTATAATATAACAAGGTTTCCAGCGACTTCGTCTGTGAAACTATGATGTTCATTGTCGGTGAAAGAATTTAAAAAAATCGTCTTCGAATTCAATTATAGGTATCGGAACCTATTACGTGTCGATAACTTATGATGCAATGGAGGTGGGACTGCAGTCGCTGTACATATAATCTTCAGGGAATACGATTTTAACAGAAATTATACTTATTAACGATTCCAAACTTTCCGAATTGCGTTCGAGGACAAAACAGAATATTTGTGTGTATGTGATAGATTCACAACCCTATCAAACTAAAGCTGTTCAATCAAATAAAACCTATATACTGGGACAGCGCTGTGCTCTACATCCAGTTCAACGCTGTTTTTATTACAGAATAGCAAAAGTTATACCTATGTATTGATGGTTGAAACACATATTTATGTGTTTGTTTCTCTACTCACCGATGGGTGATATCGTGCTCGTCGATGTTGTGTCGTTTTCTGTCGTCTGCGACATCGTTGCTATGACAAACACACTGCAGATTAATCTGTAAACAGAAGTTATAGGTCACTGGACAGATATCTATTTACATTCCGGAGCTCGAATAACTGCCTGTTTTGTTTTTAACAATTAACTAGCTGTTGTAGCATGAATATACTTTAATTATAGCTTTCCGCCAGCGGTTTCGCCCACTTGGTCTTAAGTATAAGTTGTGCCTAATGCGGTTTGGTTCAGATGATACCGCTCGCCCGGCTCACGATAGCGTGACCTAAATCTTGAGATAACGCATTGTTTTTTGCCAATTGCCTCTGCGACGCGATGACACAGTATGGAGACAACATTCCAATGGCCCCCGGGTTAAATGCTGACGGTGCATTCTCAAAAAGATGATTAAAAAACTCTTAAGTATGGTACGTTACGAAAAAATATATATCAAATATGGTTTTTCTAAAACTATTTCTTTTATAAGACGTTATACTGCACAAATTCATACTCTTCCACCAACATCGTATATTTCTTTTTTTTTTAGAGAATTTAGAATACTTTGATACATTTTTTTTTACAATTAGATTCTTGTATTTTTTTTTGTACTTCGGCCTAATGTGAAATATCCTTGTGCTTTAATTATGTTATAGTATGTTTTTATTATTTATGTCTACCAATACGATTATTAGGGCCGCGTTCACAGCTCGTTCTTATATTTGATGCGTTTCCTAGCCGTAGGAATATTAACGAACTAACGGTGATAACTATTCACAAATAAAAATAATAACGAACGATTTAGAAAGAATATACCTACATAAGAATGACCATCAACCTATGAATCCTACTTACAGAAATTTATGCTTGCGCAAAACAATGCAATTCGCCTATTGGCAAAGTGAAATCCAATATCCTATTCCGTAAAAGAAGCCCTGTTAGTGTACAAAATAATTATCTGTATCTACATGAAAATGTTAAATGTCTTATTGAGATAAAAAATAAAATGATAACTCTAAAATAACTATAAATAACTAGATAGGAATATTTGGAGAAAACTTATTGTATTTATGTACCCATTTATTTATTAAAAAAGACTTAAGAGATATCCGAAGAAAATATTATAAATATTTTGTATATATATTTAAATACAATTAATTTGATTTATTTTGGACTTCAAAGTTTATTATTATCTACACATATATGTCAAAATCAAAAAGCGATTCAAGATTTTAAATTGGCTAATTTTATGTTAACTGAATAGTGTACCTATTATCTCTATCCCATTGGATATAGGATAACGCGGACAGACGAACCGATTACTTTTATTAGTAACCAAAGAGTTGTAGACGGTAGTACTGCAAGTTATCTATCACGCAATATCAGGTAGACTGTTTTCAATATGATATGTTTAAGTTATAAAATTTTAAAGTAGCTTAAAACGACAATAAGAAAAGGAATCAACAAATAGGGATAAATAATAGGTTGGATAAATGTATTTTTAACGTATTATCTTGGTTACACAGTGACATAATTATGCAATAATATTAACTTTTAAAAAGTACGAGAACGAAGTGAATACACTATTGTAGGTATAACAAGTAGAATTTGAGAAAAACCTACAAGAATTTATACATTTTTTGGAGCCTAAAATTGACACATTTATCAAGTTAGCGCACTTCACAAATAATTGAGAACCGAATTTTATTTTCACTTTGGTATTGTTACACTAAATCAACTTGAATAGTTTTGTTTTAGACGGAGATCACATAAGTAGATAGACACACTGCACTATATGTAAAATAATCATTCGTCTACAGCATAATTAATAATTATTATCTACAATACTTACATGATCGGTGATACGTCCATCTTGGGTCAAGGGATTACACTAACTGACGAATAGCGACTTTGAAATACTACAATATTTATTAGCGTTAATGACTTCACGATTAAACAAAGTTAATTAATAAATGTTCAATTATATTGCTATAAATTAAAGACATTAGTTGAGTCATCAATTAATTATTTTATATATCTACTTATTAAATCGTTAGGTATGTGTGGAATATTCTATTTTGCATGGGATTTAAGACAGCAAAATTATCAGTTTTCCTGCTTCTATGAGGAAATGAGTCACAATTTCAAGTAATAGAGATGTTTCTTTGATTACCTATAGTTAGTCAGTCAGTTAGTGGTTGATAAAAGGCGATGTAGGAATCAGTGATAAAAAAGTTATTACTTTATTAGTTCTGTATTATAAGAAAACGACTCTACGGCTACTGATGATGGGTTTTAAATGATTTATAGTCTGTATTACGATATGGGATAGGTATTTAGTTTCCCCGAAACAAACGAAAAAAATTTTCTAGAAAAGCCAAAACAAATGGTGATTGAATAGTTTGACGAGCTCCGTAGCCGAGTGGTTCGCACGCCGGTTTCGAAATGTCGTCATCTCTGAGATCCCTGGTTCAACCCCGGTTTCTCAGCAGGGTTAATGTAGAAATTGAAATTTTGCTGCTCAGGTCTGGGTGTTGTGGTACATTTGTATTTATTTATAGCTCTGCCAGCGGCTTCGTCCGTGTTCCTGCATTATACATACTCGTATAAGCCTTCTTCTTGTATCACTCTGTAGAAATGATGAAAGCCGATTTGAATCTGTTATTTGCGTACAAGCGGGGAGCGACTTGTTTTACTTTTATACTATGTACTTTATATATTATAGATGTATATTATATTACTTAATAGGAATAAATTGCAGAAGAACTGCATGACCTACCTAAATAACAGCGGCGAATGAAAGGTCAGTGGTGCCAAAGGCAAACGCCTCAGTGGGCCTTCACTAAAAATATACTTAATTTTTTCTGCAGCCATTGTTATATTCTGCAAGTACTAGGTTTGCCTAACGATTCGAGATGACCAACGAATTTGAGGGTGTTATTATATCCTCAAATTCTTGGATGTGCCTGCTATCTTGACGAACACATCGATTCAGTTCAATCATGTTTAGGAACCCACACTTCAAAAGTAAAAAATGGTATCCTTATAGATATTTTTTTATAATTCTTGTTGTGGTACATACAGCTGCACGTCAGACTATACATTGTGTACTTTGTATAGAACTCTGCTAACTCTGCTTATGGTGGTGGTGTGAAGAGGAACATGCGGTCACGCGTACCTCCGTAGTTTCAGATTTCCATAATTTGGCTGCTTTCCCTATTTGGTGTCTGAGAAATATATATAATGTCTAATATTTGTATTTATTTGATACTAGTTGTTTTATTGCAACTTTTTGTAACATTGCAACAAAATAAGTAAATTAAAAATGAAAGTTCTCAAAAAACAGTCATTTAATTGTTTTCTATGTAATACTTTCTTACCATGCTCTCCACTGCTGGAGCACATACGTGCGGGGTAGATGTTTATGGCCTAAAGAGCTTGTAATATACATCAGAAATAAGTTTTTATCTGACGTATTTCTATGCTAACTATACAGCTATGTCATCGTCATCGCATTTAATATCTTATTTACATATAACTACATTAAAATGCACGTCAGAATATTGTATATTGTAACTTAATTTCTCCACATGATTTTTAATTCTAATACTTTGGACGTAGAGTTCAAAATCAATTGTGGAAATTTGGCTTATTGTGGTGGCCTGTTGTACAGCCGATTCAAGAGAGATGTTACTTAGTAATTTTATATAATGACATGAAATCACTCAGATAAATAAAAAACAATAATAAATGCGGACTAGATTTAATAAGCCACTAATCACTTAAATATAAATTATCTATATTTTTACAAATCATACAACTTTCATATGAGAACAACATTAATTAATTAATTCAATGATCATTAGTATATTATTAAAATATGATAGTAAACGACGATTTGCAATATATCGTCATGAATCGAAGTATATGCACATAACCGCCACAAAGTAAAATATTAATAGATTTGTTTTGCAATATTTGACATTAAGATGCAAAATCACGTATTCATTATTTTTGTCTGTCAAAAGATGGCGTTGTTTTAATTATTTTTTGACGATAATTTTCGCGTATAGATTTATTTTAATTTTAAAACTTTTTACCAAGTTTTATTTCATTAAAAATATTTTTTAAATTTAGACATAATATTACAAAGTAAACGTTATTAAAGTTGGCCTAAGGCTAGACAGTAGACTTGGTAAGGATGCGGTTTGTAAGAGAAGTGCCGAGCCCAAGCTGCTTTACATTCGCTAGGGACACTCGCCCGGTCATGAATGACATTTAAAAAAAAACCTTTAGTATTAGTAACAGTTCATATATTTATATACATACGTTTCGTTCTCCATTATATAAAATAACCTACTACCCATAACAAAATGTGGAGTAGATTAAATAAATAGATTAAATGACCTGCGACTAATTTCAAGACAAAAACCGCATTTAACGTAACTTAAAAGCATTGGCCCATGTTATTTTATTCCGTAATGAAACAGAGAGAATATGATTTACTTTTTTTTTGTGGGACAACACGATTGAAGATTATCTATAGGCGATGCGATGAGTCTCGTTTATTAAAAAAAAAAAAACAAACATATACCCACTGTGGCGTTAGTGTACATATAAGAGGATTGTTAAATATTCCTAGTTAAATTAGTAGTATATCTTTCACAGATTGAAAAGATATACTTAAAACAGATGATACAACAATTCAAACAAAACACAAAATAAAAATAAAAAAAACATTTTTTTTCAACACACCATTTCAATGTATTGTAACTGGTGTTAGATAAAACTATGAGTGTCTACAAACATTATTATAAGAATATTGAGTGAACCACGTATACAAATATAAATACGTTTGAAATATAGACTTAAATGCATAAAGTTTATACTCGTGGTAAGTATACCTGTCAAGTTAGATGTGTCATGATCAAACATGGCGGATGCATCAACTAATATTAAACGGACACGTGGCCTAATTATATAATTTCAATATCAATCGCAATAACATTCAAAGGTTTAGCGATTGTGCTAGCGATTCGTGGAATTATTTTTAATACGGCAATCGCTTTTTGGAACGAATGCTAATTTGAATGATCAATAAACATAGTAAAAATTTAGTTGAACCCGTCGAAAGGGGCCATCCATAAATTACGTCACACGTTAGGAGGGGGGGGGGGGGAGGTCGACGAACTGTGACTTTAGAACCATATTTAGTAGAATTTGTATAGACAAACATGTGACAGGAGGGGGAGGGAGGGGTTAAAAATGATGAATTTTGTGTGACGTAATTGGACTGCTCCAAAGACTGCATTAAACAGTCCTTAATAGTTTTGAAAAATAGTTATGTCTTAAATAAGCGACAAATTGACGGTATCGTTCATTCAATCTATCGAAAAAACGTTGCGGTAGCAATCACATGTTAAACAGTTGTCAAATTTAAAATGTCAAATAGATTTTAAAATTATTCAATTAGGCACACGGTTTGAACGCAAACGCGGAATTTTAAGACTAGATAATTTAACATTTTACGCGCTTTTCAAAAATGAAATTTCTGTACAGGTACAATGGTGTAAATTTTATAAGTATTACTTCTGTCTGGTATAAAATTATAAGAATTAGGTACTAATGAAAGATATCATTAGCATTCTTGACATTCTTTATCAATGGTTCAGCTGCGATTTTCGTGTAATTATTATGTTTATAGCTGTTATAATGAAAGTTGTAACGTAACTTATTTAATGCCATATATATTTTAGCAAATTTTAGTAGTTTATTTTCGGTTTTCAAAGCGTAATATTTTCCGAACATATAACAGAAGCCGGTATTTTCACTTGTAGGACACAAGCCTATTTTGCAATTTCATGTGGATATTTTTTTATTTAAATTAAGGTTTGTCATTTTGGATCATTATTTAATTTATTAATTATAAGGTAACAAATTTAAAGGCATAGAAAAAAATAAAATTATCAAATTAGAACGCTAGCGCCATCTTGTCATCTGACGTACGTCACGTTCTATTTTTAATACAGTAGAAGCTCCTTATTCGCCGAGGATACGTTCCTTAAAAATGGCGCGAATACAGGATGGCATTTAGAGTAGACTAATAGGGGATATGTTCAAAAGTTCTTAAATAAAAGCAATACGTATGTCAAAATAAATACAATTGAGTAAGATTGAAGAAGCACCAATTAAAATCAATCTTTATTGTCAGGTTCAAATAAGGCTTTTTCAATGTTTTATTCATTATCTTTTTTTCCAGTTTTTAAAGATCTTTAATTTCAGATTCATAACTAAGTTACTGTAGCGTAAAAAATGTAGCTTTTTTGAAGTATTTTATGAACGCTACTACTAAGCAAAAATTATAGGGTATTGTAAAAGCCGCCCTGACATATGCCCGAAGTATTTAAAAGATGGCGATGCGTTAATAAACGACGCTGAATTCCTTAGTGTTACTGATTGCATCGGGGGATGCATGCAGAGTGCTCGGTGGCGTAGTGGATAAGCGCCGCAGCCCGCGATCGTTGTCGTTAAGCAACTTTCGCATGGGTCGGTCACGGGATGGGTGACCAAAAAATTGTTATCTGGAGATACTCCGTGCTTCGGAAGGCAAATTAAGCCATTGGTCTCGGTTGCATTTGCAGTCGTTAGTACCCTCCAATCCGCTTTGGGCTAGCGTGGAGGGTCATGGCTCATCCTCCTTAACTATCCATAAGGAAGGCGTGAGCCCCTGTAGTGGGGACGTAAAAAGGCTGATGAGGATGATGACCGATTGCATCCGCGAATACGCAGATTTTACTCGTGAGTTTATAAATTTTTCACTCGAAAACGCGATTAATGAGCTTCTACTGTATGTAATTTCACCTATTATAATTAAGTCGGTAACATGTTTACTTGTAGGTAAATCTTAATAACGTAAGAGTTTACATTGAGAGTTCAATCACAACCAGGTAACTATAGTGACAATATCTTTTATGGGCACCCATTTACGACAGTTTGATTTGTTCTGTTCTGGTCCAATACTGGATCTTTAAACATGTAGGCTGTATATAAACATTTCCTCTGCCAAACTGAAATGAATTCTATGCGTCATCGTCGTTCCCACTATCATTTGAGACCTCACCGTCACCTATAAATACTTCTTCTTGAACCATAACGGGCATTCTAGCATTACTATTTATCTGTAACACAGATGCCATAGCCATACCAGTACCGAAACTATACTCTATAGGTTTTAAGCTTTCATCTTCTTTGTCTATGGTAATTTTACTAGGATATTTTTTCTTTCTAGCTACTCTATGCCTTCTCACATCTTTCAGCAAAGCCATTTGTTCTTCGTAAGCTTCAAAGTCACTTTCTGATGACGAATTTGATAATTCTAAATCTTTTTTTGAAAACTTATAATTTTTACTATAATGACCGTTCGTTTCGTTGTTGTTTGTAGCATTATTGATTATATTTTGTTCTATATCGCTTCGATCTTCTGATATGCTGTTTGTCTCTAACCTGTCTAAGTTCATCTCCGATTTTATGCATTTCACCCACTTTGTGACAACAAATTTCTCGTTAACAACAGTAATGGATATCAAAATACTTTTCTTATTTGGGAAAAGTACCGTTTTGTAATAAGGTTGTATTATTTCATTCTCATCTAAGTACTTCCGTATTTGGAAGTCATACTTTTTATCTCTCTTTCTTTTTGATATTCTATAACATCTGAAGAGTTTCTTCTTCTTTTTACATAAAGCGTGATACTTTTTAATTTTACATAAAAAACCCTTCAATTCAACGAACTCTTCTAACTTTATCTGTCTCGGGAATTCTGGAACTGATTCTTTGTATTCTGGCATTGTTTTCACCAACGCTTGCCTTTCTCGCTCTCTCATGACATCCTCCCTCTTTCCCAGCTTCCTTTTCAACTCGTTGAACACAATTTTAGTTGCATCCCTTTCTTTTTTCCCCGGTCCTGTTGTAACATCACTGATCGGTTGTAAGATTTCATCGTCTTCAGTTTTGACGAAATAAAAGACTTCGTCTTTAGGTTCAGGTAATTTATCATCAATCTTGACAATATTTTCATCATCAGTATCATCTTTCTCATCAATTATAACTTCATTTTCTTTTCCAACTACTCTGTTTTTTATTTTCTTCAATCTAATTTGAGAATTCTGTACCGTAGTCAAGCATTTCGTTATTCCATCTACTAATTCATCGATGTCTTTACCTAGGATGTTCAAATCTAATTCTTGTTTATTCAGAGCACACGAATCAAGGAAAACATCAATGGAGTTACATTTGTTAGACACTAGTTTAAGTTCTAAACAAGTCCTGGCTATGCCGTTGTGGACATCACTATACAGCCAGCTATCCAGCATAGCCGCACCCGGTTTTTTGCTAGTACTATTAGAATCGCTGTTTCCTATATTTCGTAACAGCCTATACATTCGTTCGAGACTTTCATGGTTTTGCTTGAATTCTTCAGTGAGACTCTGGATTAGGGTATGGTGTAACCAATTGATTCTTTCGTTGTGATTTTTGTAGATGCGCTGAGCTTGTAGGGGAGGCACGAAGTGTGCCATCGCGATATGTTTTAAGAGAGTAGATTGTACGACGAGAAATGCGTGGTGGATTTTCTGTACAGAAAATTATATTTTATTTATGAAATACACAAATAAATTTTAAATATTAATATTGTCTGATTTTTAATTAAATGGACTAAATAAACTGACATTAGTGAGATGCCATCTAGTCGCAAATAAAAAATAGTGTTGTGGTCTAGTGATAGAAAGTGACCCATGAATTATATATAATCTATTCACATACATTACTTTTTAGTTTACCTTATAATTAGAATGACATCAATTAATTTAAAACATTTAAATGAACAATTTTTATATGAATGGAAAAACTCAAAATGAAGTTCATATAGATAGATAGATAAATTCTTTATTTGCATCATGTATACACAAGATTTCACATAATATAATGATTAAGAAAGAGAAATAATTAATAATAGAGACCAAGATGTAACTAAAACAAGACAATCAACAGTATGTGTACCGCAGCGATGCAAATGGGCGAAAACTCAGTGAGTATTTACTCAAAGAGCAAAGCACTGATTTTCAGTTTTTACCCTAATTACAAGTGGTCGCAGTGTAACTATAAAAAAAATCAGGAATTCAATATGATTCTAAAATTCAATATGAGTCTTTAAAATTTTTTTTTAGTAAAACTGGTATTTTAAACATTTTCATCAGAAACAATTAAACAACGCAATGAAGACATTAAAAATCAGTTTCAGTTTAAAAATAATTTTCACTCAATAAGTCATATCACCGAACGGATAAATGAATCATTTAATAGAGCTGTGTCACAACACTAAATTGATATATTGCAACAAAAAAGAAAAAAAAAAGGCAAATTGAGCCGTCAGTTTAGTCCATGTAATTAAAAAATATCGTATTATAGACTATTACCGTCAGTTCTAGTTGGGGCGTGTCTACAGCGGACCAGGCGACGTCGCCCCTCAGCCACGGAACGTTGCCCAACAGAGCGGAGGACGCGCGCGACATACACACACATAGTGCGCTCTGTTGACGACACAGAAGCGCGTGTGTCGATTCAATAACAGATGTTATCGACTCACTGAAATGAAATGGAAATACCTTTATTCAAGTAGGCTTATTACAAGCACTTTTGAATCGGCAAAAAAATTTTTTCCCCCTACACTTGTTCAGGACGTCTTTTAGCTGACAAGAAGAACAAGCGAAAGAAACTTATCAGCTCTTAATCATGAGTAAATCATGATAATGATTTACATAAATCATGTCATTACTAAAATAGTATGTATTTTCACAATAATAAATACAACTTTCAAAGTCTGTAGGTCATAGGTTGTAAGTATAATTAGTCGTTATAGAACAAAGCGAAGGCTATTAATTCCACGCATTGCGATCTTGAAAATAATCATTAACTTTATTATAGCCTTTACTCATAAGTATGTTCTTTACATGAATTTTAAATTTATTTATGGGTAGGTCAATTACACTTTGTGGATTGTTTACCATGACATTAAATAGATCAGTATAATGGTGATCTAACACCCACCAGAACCGAAGCAGGAAAACGTACGAAAATTTTCTGTGCGCCTTACATATGAATGAAACTGAACAGGACCGGAACTTGTTAATATATAATACAGTTAAAAATAAAAGTAATTAAATCATATATTACAAAAATATGAAGGGGGGGGGGGGGTAGAAGGGTGCAAATCCGGGCGGGAAAGTAATTAAGGCGAACAGACACGCATAGAGAAAGTACTTTCGCATTTATCAGGGATGTAGCGGATATGTTATTTCGGTTACGGGTACGGATATTTGACAATTGTTATATTGGTTTCAGTTACAGTTACGGATATCATTTCTATTCGGATTATCCGGTATTTTCGGATAGTTCCGGTTACTAGATTGAACAATTTTAAAAGTAAAATGCAAATAGACAATAACAACGTTTTATTTCTAGAGGTATTTCATTTGATACTTCCAACAAATTAAGTTACAAAAGCCGGCAATTATGATATTTAAACAAAATTATTACATAATGTCAGATTCATTAGGTACTGAAAAGTATTTAATGATTTTTATTTTAATAGAGTATGAATTAATGTATACTTAATAAATGATATATAAATGACGAACTCGAGATTGTTATGTCTATACCCAAATATAATTGTCTCAGGTGTGCCCATATGATAACTCACTGTCAACTTGAGAAATTTAAGTGTAAACATAGCGTTTCTGGCCCATCCTCTTTAACTATCCTTATGGAAGGCCTGAGCCCCTGCAGTGGGGACGTTAAAGTGCTGATGATGATGATAGCGTTTCTCGAATTTATTACGCCACGCGTGCTGATAATAATAGCATTACTCACATTGTGGCGTGGAGAGCCTTGTACTCTTTGAGGCACGCGGCGGCTCTGCGAGCTAGTGCCAAATAATCCCTCATTATCGACAGAAGAGGCGCGAGCCGGCCAGAGCCAGCCCAACGGTGGGACCATCGCACCATTAATGGAATAGACGCGTACCCAGCGAGCTTCAGTAAACAAGAGCGGTGCAAACTGCAACAAAGTTAAGACTTAAAACTGATCAAAATATAATAATAATAATATTCACCGGCGTTTCTAAATTTTTTAATGTTCATACGCAGTACACAGTACTATAGTAAGCGATCGCTGTTACACTCATCATCATCAGCCTTTTTACGTCTCCACTGCAGGGGCTCAGGCCTTCCTTATGGATGGTTAAGGAGCATAGGCCATGACCCTCCACACTGACCCCATTCGGATTGGAAAGACCGACAGCTTAACGTGCCTCCGATACACGGAGTAGTTCCAAATAATAATTTTTTGGTCACCCATCTCATTACAGACCCCTCCGAAAGTTGTTTAACAACAACGTTCGTGGGCTGTGGCGGTTATTCACTACGCCACCAACTACCTCATCATCAGCCCTTTTACGTCCCCACTGTAGGAGCTCGGGCCTTCCTTATGGATAGCTAAGGAGGATGGGCCATGACCCTCCACGCTGGACCAATGCGGATTAGAGGTTATTAACGACTGCAAATGCAGCCGGGACCAACGGCATAACGTGCCTTCCAAAGCACGGAGTAGCTCGAGAAAATAATTTTTTGGTCACCCATCCCGTGACCCTTGCGAAAGTTGCTTAACGACAACGATCGCTGGCCGCGACGCTATTCTCGAAATGTCACACTATGTATGTGCTCTTAAAGCGTTCTATGAAAAAAACCGACAATCAACGGGAATTAAAGAGCGCGATACACGTGCGCGAAGATCAGTGTAGTGCGTTCGTGAACAGATTAAAATGAATAGAAAAGGGTTCATTGCATGTTACCTTAAATTTGTGTTGTGGATAATGTACATTACACCTTACATTCAATTATGTTAAAATATTAATTTAAATGAATTATTCTATGTTGAATCCTTTACCTCCTAGGAGGAAATGCTGTAACACACAGAGCAACGCCGATTAATGATACAACCCCCTCTCCTCTAGTCAGCCCACTCCCCTTCCCTCCTGCATGCTTCCAAATGTCCTCGGGGGAGGATGCCTCCTGTTCTACTTCCACACAATCCTCTCTGAACAAGAGCCCACTTTCTAGGATCATCAAGATGTGACGATGGTTGTGGATTAACTGAAATTGAAGGTTGATACTGTTGCTGGCTTTAATCTTATTATGGCAATATTTAAGTAGCAAAGAAAAGATTATAGTTATTTAAGATACGAGTGCGGAAAGTAAGGTTTTACGAATAAGGGCCAAATAGAAAACACGAGCGTAGCGAGGGTTTTCATTGGCACGAATTCGAAAAACCTTTTACGCTCAAGTTTCTTACAACATTTTTCAATGCTTTTTGTGAGGAAATAAAACAAATATATAGGTTAATAAAACTAAGTATGTATTAAAGGTAAAAATTATTTGTTAAAATTAAATGTGATATTTGAACATGTTTTTGTGTCATACTCGAGAAACCTTTTACGCTCAAGTTTCTTACAACATTTTTCAATGCTTTTTGCGAGGAAATAAAACAAATATATAGGTTAATAAAACTAACTATGTATTAAAGGTAAAAATTATTTGTTAAAATTAAACGTGATATTTGAACATTTTTTCGTGTAATACATTTGAAAATATTCGTTCTAGGCTCCTTCACTTTTGCCTCTAAACTTTGACATATTTTGATCAATTTTTTTTAAATTCCTTTGGTGCTCGGTCAAAAAAAATTAAAAAAATACTTTTAAGCACGTGTGCAGTAAAGGATTTCAGTACATTTTTATTTAACACGTGTTTAAAAGACTCACTTTCGGTGTTTACAATGGATTAAAAAAATAGCGCTTTATGAGCAACTGCATTGAAAAATTTATTTATAGTAGAGAAACCAGTAGGATTTTAAAAAACAGGCCAGTGTGAAATGGTAGACTGCAGATGCAGTCGGGACCAATTATTTAACGTACCTTCTGAAGCATGGAGGATCTGAAGATAATAAATAATTTTTTGGTCTATCTCATCACCCATCCTGTGATGGACCTCTGAGAAAGTTGCTTGACCTCTGCTTCATAGACCGAATGTGTTAACTTCAGTGTTATCAAGTTCATGTACTCACCATATTTGGCCTGAATTTTATGGTCAACCATCTTCTCGACAATATTGGTGGAGAGAAATCTTGTTTAGTATACATTGACATCTAGAAAAATAATTATAGTTTCAAAAAGTAAGAAAGAAGCTTTTTGTATTAAGTCTTCTTTTCAGAAAAATCATAAAAAATCATTATAAAATTCTTGAAGCTTGTGCAATTTGTTGAATAATTTTATACCAATTATGTTGAATTGATACATCCACTAAAATACAATTAAAGTGAAACCCTGATAGAAACCTGAGATAAATAGTTTTTAATGATCTGTTAGGCTGACAGATCAATCAGAATGGGTCAGTTGATAGTTGCGACAATTCTAGCTAATCCTGATCTATCAAGACTTTATTTTGATTGTAAAATCAAAGCTTCAGTTATGCAGTAGAGAGCAGAAAAACAATATATGAACAGATGAACTCACAGAATGTATGGAGAATAAAAGGAATAATATATATTTGATATTAATGGCATATAAATACTATTTTTGAACAAAAAATTAAGTACTATAGTTACTTTCTTAAAGCCTTTAAGGCTTAAAAAAGGTTTAAAAATGTCACTGACTTTTTTCATGAAATTATCATCATCTTTAAAAAAGTTAGAAATTTTAAAATAGTATGTTAATAAAAACTTAAGACTACATGTTTTCATTAACATACTATTTTAAAATTTCTAACTTTTTGGGCACTTTAAATAATTTTTTCTTGCCTTATATTTATTTATTTTACTATATAGTGTTGTACAATTTTTGTGGTTCTTATAATCATACTAATATACATATTTGAATATGTCTACTTTGGACTGAAAATAAACTTGTAAATAGTATTAATTAATAACCTATAGCTTCAGTTAAATAATTTATTTCAATAAAATAAATGTATAATACAAATACACAGGAAAGCTTTCCGAATTACGAATATCATATAATACTCTAACGATGATGTATAAGCGACAAAAGTTGTATAACTAAGGATCAGCTGATTTATATTTACTTACTTTGCTAAGAGCTCCTATTTATAAAATACAAAACTAAAACATTTGAGTCTCAATATTTTTTAACTCGCTTACGCTTTGGTCCGTTTTTATACCAATGAAATTTTATCTTGAAGTAAATAATTAATTATTTTGTGTTTTAAGGGAATAAAACATTCTCAATATGACTTGTTGTTTTGACAACTAGGGATGTGGAATGGATGTGACTCGAGTCTGGGTGGGAATGTGAATAGCGAATTCTTAAATCGAATCGATTATTGTCCTATTAGGTCCTTACATATGAAATTGGCGCTTTGTCGTACTGGCCACTTTACTCACAAATTTCTCCTCCTTGATTGGGGATTTCCATATTCAAATTTATACAGCCATATACACATGTATTTGTGTTTCGTTAGGCGGCATTCATTTGATTTTTTTTCTTTTGTTTGTCCTATTATACCACCGTGGTACCAGTGCTGCGGAAACGGCTCGAAGGGTTAATGATGTGTACGGTGGATGTGTCGCAAAAGAAAATACCGTGTGTTTTTGGTTCCAACGTTTTCGTTCAGAAAATTTCGACCTGCAGAACAAGCCCCGTGGACGGCCGGAGACCCAAGTGAATAATGAAGAATTGAAGGCTATTGAGGAAGCTGATCCATCGCAAACCACATCCGAGTTAGCTGCAGGCTGCAATGTTAGCTAAGATGTTAGTGATAAATCTGTTTTAATCCACTTGAAGCATAATGGAAAGATTAAAAAGCTTGAAAGGTACCTCACGAATTGAGTGAAGTAAACCGGCAAACGCGCTTCGACTGCTGCGTTACATTACTTAACCGACACAATAATGAAGGGTTTTTAAATCGAATTATGACCTGTGATGAAAAGTGGATTCTCAACGATAATCGGAAGCGCTCATCGCAATGGTTGGACCGGGCATGCCAGCCAAATCCTGCCCCAAGCGAAAATTGACCCCAAAAAGTTACTTTTAACCATTTGGTGGACTAATGAATGTGTCGTTCATTACAGTTTTTTTCAAATCTGACCAGACGATTACGGCAGACGTCTATTGTCAGCAATTGCAAACCATGCTGGAAAAACTAGCTGTTAAACAACCGAGGCTGGTCAATCGCTCTACGCTACTGCTACTTCACGACAACGCTAGACCACACAATGCACAACAGACGGCTACCAAATTATAAGAGTTTCAATTGGAATGTCTAAGACATCCACCGTACTCCCCGGACCTTGCTCCAATAGATTACCTTTTTTTTTCGAAATTTGGATAACTTCTTGCAGGGGAAAAAAATCAACTCCGATGGGGCAGTACAAATCGCCTTCAAAAGCGTTAAGTGGATATTCCATCCACAGTTTTGACTAGCCTTCGAGAGGGTTCGTGCGGATGGAGTTCCACAAGCCCCCTGCCGTCGTCAAGTAACGGGGACATTGTATAAAGCATTCCTCTACGTTAATAAAAGTCGATATCAGCTTATCTACAGTATCGATATCTACTGAAAATCACCCTCTTACAATGGCAGCTCCAAACGTATTCAACATTATGCATGTTAATCGAAGTAATTCAAGCTACACTGTAGACCTTCAGAATTTAAACAGTCGAGGTTGAGGAGCTCAATGGCGCAGTGATTAGCACGTGATCTCAGATGTGGTAGTTGAACAACTTTCGTGAATGCTGGTCACAGGATGGGTGACCAACATTTTGTTATCTCGAATTCCTCAGTGCCGTTACGTTAAGCCGTTGGTCTCGGCTGCATCGGCAGTCGTTAAAACTCTTCGATATGCATTAAGTCCGTGTGGTGGGTTATGGCCTATACTTCTTATTCCATTATATTCCATCCACAGGGAAGGCCTGTGCTCGAAAAGTGGGGATAAATAAGCTGATAATGATTATAAATAAAAATAATTATTAACTAAAAAAATATTTTTATTATTTACAACTTCCACCGTTAAACAATCTTTATAAATATTTATTATTCATAATTTATAATAATAGTTTCTTTTACAAATCACATCAGATTATCCAGAAGAATAGAAATTTTTCTATTCTCTTTTAACCCTTAATCTGATAATAGTTAAATTCCAAGTGAAGGAAAATAATTATTAAGTTTTAAACTCAATTTCAGATAAATTTGCTATTTTGTAGTAATTATTACAAATATATAACTGAATCAGAATAATTAAATTTTTATATATATGCTTTAAAAACTACTTTTTAAAAATCACTTTTTGTCTCTTACATTGCGCACATACTGCGCGCAAGATTTATAAAAGATTTATAAAGGGAAAAAGTCCCTTTGTCCCATTATAACAAAACACCATAATTAAATAACATTATAAAGAAACAATTAATACTTCATAACGAAAAAAAACAAATATAAATAAACATTTATTACGAAAACGAACAACTAAATTTTCATAAAATTCATTCAACTAAAAAGTTTTCATAGGATAATTTGCCTATATGATTAAAAAAAAAAAATATTGGAACGCGACGTCGTAGTATTTCATTTAAACAACAATCATCAAAATACATATAAACGCATAGTCCAGTCAAATGGATACAAGGGCGGATTCAGGGGAGTGGTCACGGGGGGTCATGACCCTGGGCTGAAGCCAGGACCTAGGTAAATTTATTATAATAATTTGTGTCTATTATTATTAAAATTAGCTTCTTATGACTTGACCACGACTATGTGACTAGGAAAAGCTGGATCCGCACATGAATGGATAGAGGTATAACATTAAATAACATAAGACAGTTTAGAAGTAGAAAAATCCCCGAGTTAGAAAGAGAGCACAAATACAACTGTCATAAAAGGTATAAACCAGTGGCAGGAACCCAAGTGGTCCGCAGAGTCTAATCATATTATTAGATACTAAGTAAAAAAATCAATTATTAAATTAAAAGGTTCATGGTTGACTAACACCGTATCAATAGTTCCTGATAAAAAATTACAAAATACTGCTATAAAATCCGTTAAATCGTTCACCAGGCTAAGTCTGCTAAATGGCATCTCAATTACTTGCATTCTGCAATTGTACTATCTACTTGAAGTCCAATATTATTATCTATCTGTGACCATTTATTTGTGAGGAAGACCTTGCGCATAATATTGGACTTCAGGTAGATATTCTATTGAGATGCGATTATTAAATAAACACGAATACAAGTAAACGTGAATTGGTCTGATAGTATGCTCCGTTTCGGCGCTAAAACATAGGCTGCCAGTCGCACAAACTGCGATTTTAAATTTTCATTACTTTAAAGCGACATTACCCGTACAGATGATCATATTGATAATTCATTGTAGCTTAAAGTTAACATTAAATCATAAAGATTGTTTATGCAATTTAGTGTTAATCTCTCTCTTTCTAACCTAGAGACGCTGTATACTGATGTAGTTTCCTTACTCTATTTATAATACGTATATGGTCAAACCGCTTTTCTGTCTTTTGTGGTCAAAAGTGAATCAAAATAATATATATTTCAACTCTGTGCCTATGACCTAACCTCAGAGATTACCTTTTCCATTTACGGTCACGATTTTGATGTGTGTAGCTATTTCCCGTCCCTTTTCCTCATTTACAACGCTCTTCAGTCTGTCGTTATTTAGCCTGTGGCTGTGAATGCCGGCTAAGATTTTTACTTCAGTACTCTTTTTTTATGCAAGCAACTGGTGTGTATGAACAAAAATATAAAAATCTATGTTGTTTCGTAAACGTTATGTAACGTTCGGATTAATGAACCAAGACGAGTGATCTTAAACTTGTTTTCAGATCCTTCTTAACATTATACAGTACAGTCCAAGCTTAGGCTTGCCTCATAGCATTGACAACGAAACGTTTTCCATGTCTTAGGATATTTTCTCTCCCATAACAGAAAAGCGAGCTTCAACCTCAAAAACTAACAGCTACGTAAAGTTACAAAAATTTCTTCTGATAAAAAACAGAATTTGTTGGGACCACAGAACAACAGAAGTGGCACATAAACAAGAAAAGAAGTAATTGTCATTTACAAGATGTAGTTAAGTTTTCGAAATTTAATTCAAAACAGCAGTATTCTTATACAATGCGACAACAAACCAGTTGTATATTTAAAGAAACAAGGCGGAACCAGATCTCTGACACTACTAAAATTGGCAAGCGACATTTTAATTCTAGCGAATTGCAGTAATATAGAAATGAGAATAGAAAATATTCCATTAGATTGTATAAGACGGATATAAACGCGATAGATTTTGATAGTTAGGTTTTTCACCTGCCTATATTTCCACTTCAGAAGATGAGACGTAGCATCGCAGAAACAGTCAGCTCGTGACCACGGCCGGTGTAACCTGATCAAAACGTCGGGAAATAAAGGTAGGTGAAAAACCTAACTATCAAAATCTATCGCGTTAATACCCCTCTTATACAATCTAATATAATGCAACGCGAAAGTGTAAAAGATTATATAGAAAATATTCCAGGGCAGCACAATAAAATATCAGATCATGTATCGGAGGCCGGAACTTACTAAATTGGTAGATATCGATGGATTATTTCCAGTAAATGGGAAGTCCTATGTATGGAACTATTCGCAACAAGATAGCTGGCAATAGTCGTAAAAATTTGTGACACGATTTCCATGCAAGCAAAATAAATTGGGGAAGAAATATTTAAAAATATTAAACTATTAGTTGATTGTTATTTATTATGTGATTACGGTGTGATTATAAACAAGCCTGATAAATCCTAGTTAATATTTTTACTTATTAAATTAATTATGTTGATTATTTCTTCATAATACTATCAATGAGTTGACAATGTTGTAATTCATTGACAACCGTTTTCACAGTACTGTTAGTTGGCTAATTACCGCCGGCAAATTTAAGACACATCTCAGATATCAGGCCGTAGGCACAGACCTGAAATAGACCAATTTTCCTCATGAAGGGAAGAAAATTGATATTTCGGGTCTTGCCCTATGCCTGATCTAGGCAATTACTTGCCAGGTGATAGAAGTACTGAAGTAAAAATCAAACTATGCAGAACACCACTAGCCCGCATTCACAGCCACAGACTAAAGAAAGACAGATCGACGAGCGTTGTAAAGGAGGAAAAGGGATAGGAAATAGGTACACACACCAAAATCGTGACCGTAAATGGAGAGGTCAGGCTGGGTAAGACCGGAAATAACAATTTTTTTCTCTTCATAGGGGGAATTGGTCTACAAACCAATTATAAGGCAGTATGGTCTATGATCTTAGCTAGTTCTGAGAAAGACGAAATATTTAAAAAAATGTTATTTGAATATGGAACTATTTTTTGATTCATTAACTTCGGTCACAGTTTAGATTTAGAATCTAACCCTTCAGGGCCGTACAACAAAAATTGTGCCACATAACCCGCCAACCGTTCCGGATTAGTGAGGTGCACATCGTGACCACCTTCTACCCTCCTAACTCTATAATTACCCGCGGGATATTCCGATTCGTCGAATACGAAAGGTGTGCTAGAATATCTGCCATTTTTAACAGAATCTTCAGCTATAATGGACAGTGTCGGGGTTTTCATGCCAGTGCATATCCTTTTTAAGTTTTCTGGGGATATTGGCGGACGGGTAACAAGTTTCATACGTTGATCGAATGTGTACCTGAGGAAAAAAAAATAGTTTTTTTTATACTTTTTGCATATCACCAATGCTGACTGCAAAATAATTTCCTGATGATGAAATTAGTCTATTATTACTCCAATTATACGCCTGCCTGTCCACGACGAAATTCGAGTAGTTCTTATAATTTTGTTAAAATCATATTCGTGAAGGTTATCTATGTATCAGAGGTACTGTCAGGTCCTATCCCAGGTCCTATGAAGTCGTATTACAGCGTTTCGAAAATTTTGTTTTCGGAGAAACAGAGCAGGCTTTATGATCTCCGAAAGGCATTACCTGAGTACAGCGTCATCAAGCTTTGTAATCGACTACTTGATAGTTATAACTATAAATTATGAAATTGTAACTTATATGTAAGCATATAAACAATAATTATGCAGTATTTTTTGTTTTAAAATACTTCCGATTTAAAATCTGTGTATTAAATGAATCAAAACGCGGGCGGCCATGACAGAGCATCATGTGACGTCATATTTCAATAAACTAATCGACAACGTCTTTTTTCCGAGTGCAACCAGCATTTAAATAACTTGAAATGTGACGTCACAGCTCGAAATGTCAAGTGTATGAGTGTTTCATGATGATGATTATATAAAAGTTTTAAAATACTTATCCCAAAGAGTTAAGGAGCCAATTATTATTTTTTAATATATTAGAGGTTTTTTTTGGCTCAGTATTTTGGAAGAAATTAATGTAAAATTTTCATCCATTTTCTCCGAGTTTTTTTTTTGTAAAAGAAAACACCTCGGCTTTGTTTCACCTTTCGAATCAATCGACCTAGAAGCTTTTAACCTAATGAGCTGAGACAGACAGTCTGTCCGATATGGATGATCCAATAAGGGATCCGTTTCTTTCTATTTAGGTATGGAATTAATAATAACCACAATGGCAGTGCTTTCTATGGCAAATATTTAACTGCGGTGTGTGTCTATCTAATAAATACAACCTATTAAAATTTTCTGTGTATGTTGTGTATGTATGGTATGTTCTACAATGCCTGTTGTACGTGCAATGTGCATGTTGATTCTCGGAGCTCTACAATGTACACATTCGTGTGTTGACATATGTCTATTATCGATGCACTCATGTGTAACGTGTATATGGTGATGTGAGTGGCTTCGTTGCGTTAAGTGTCCATGTATTTGTCTGTATCTGTATGTGATGTATTTATATATATATAGGTATAAGCATAAATATGAACATACAATAAATTACAGATATGATATATTGAAGTACTCAACGAGTGATCTGTCTTCTTGTGCAAGTACGTTTTTTTTGTATTTATATTCTTTTGCATTTCTTTTTAATAATTAAACAAAACAGTTAGCTATCTTTATAAGTTGTGTAACTCTGTAATTGACTTAAGTTACTATCGCATCACAATATTATAATATGTATTTATAATTAATATTTGAAGTTTCTAAAACTGTCCGGACCATATTACCTTATCTTTCCATCATCGGTTGTTTCAGATATTCTGTCCAAGATTTCTGCAGCAGTTTCTTTGGACAAACCACGATACCGCATCAATTTACTGATAGCCTGCAAACATACAAATAAACATTAAATACGCATACGAATATTTAAAAAAAAACCGGCCAATTGCGGATCGGGTACCTAAACTAGCAAAAAAATCACGATTTTTTTTCATGGGACATCCGTTAAATGTTTATTTTATTATTTATTGTTGAAGCGGTAGCAAAAAAAATCGTCTGTGAAAATCATGGTTCATGAGGTACAGCCCGTTAACAGACAGACATCGAAGTCTTAGTAATAGGGTTCCCGTTTTAGTCTTAGGGCGGAACCCTAAAAACAGACTAACTGCCAATTATTAAAGGCGCGACATCTCACAGTGCTATCACAAAAATTGGCTACTTGACGGTTTTGGGAGAAATATTTAGTTTTTTTTATACCTGATCGTGAGTGATTACCGCCGCCCCTGGACACCTGCAACACCAGAGGAGTTACAAGCGCGCTGACGGCCTTTGAGGGACGAATTTGCTCTACGCTTGAAAGTTTGAAGGTCGTATCGGTCCGTAAATATCGCTGGCGACAAACTGTTCCAGAGGTTGGTTGTGCGAGGCAGAAAACTTATAGAAAAATTATTTTTTATTTTTCTATAAGTTTTCTTGTCGCGTAGAACGATGGCGAAAAGTAACGGCAGGTATGAGTCCGAACAATTTCTCGGAACATTCCCCGTAGTAAATGCGATAGAAGATGCACAGTGAAGCAACATCTCTACGCAGGGCTAGTGGACCAAGCCGACTTGAAGTGTCCCGGCAATCGACGATTCGAGTCGCTCTCCGCTGAATGCGGTCTAGAGGGAGAAGCTGGAATTGGGGTGCACCTGCCCAAAGATGAGAACAGTATTCCATATGGGGGTGAACCTGCGCCTTGTACAGCTGCAGGCGATGCGCTGGAGTGAAATACTGCCTCGATCTATTAAGCACACCAAGCTTCTTAGATGCTAATTTAGCCTTATCCTCTAAGTGACCACGGAACTGGAACTTTCATATGATCATATTAAACCATTATCAGATTTATTTTCTCTAAAAAGTGCTATTAAATATTGGAAAAATATATTCATATTAATAGATTTCAATTTTATTGCGATAATTAGCCACGTGACATTTCAAGTTGTGACGTAATATTTCAATAAACTGGCACAGGATGCATTCACAGCGAAGACGTTTATGTTTATATTATTGAAATGTGACGTCAAACGATACTCCGTCATGGGCGCTTTTCGGTTTTTTCAATCCACTGATTATAAATAACTAGCTAATTTTCCAAAAAATAAACTACACTTACAATTTCTTTTAAAAGAAAAACCATTGCAAAGTAATCATTAAAACATATTTCGTAATTTACTGTTATAAATGTCAAGATGAGACTACAGATCCCTAGATGACGCAGAGCAATTTGCATCACGCTTGGAAAATTTTTATGGTTCCGTACAAAAAGGGTAAAACTGTAACCCTATTACCAAGACTTCGCTGTGTGTCTGTCTGTCACCAGGATGTAACTCATGAACCGTGATAGTAAGACAGTTGAAATATTCACAGATAATGTATTTCTAATAATAAAATAAATATTTAAGAGGTCTCCTATACAACATACGTAATTTTTTGCTAGTTTTCGGTACTGAATCCTTCGTTCGCGAGTCCGAATCGCATTTGGCCGGTTTTATTATGTCCAATCTACGTGAATTGAAACGCAGTTCATGAACTAGATTATGCCCAACTCAGACATTCAAGTTTTAGTAGCAAACGTACCTCTTCGTAACAATATACTAATGATTAGTGTCAAAGTCGCGGGTAGTTTTAAAGCTGAAAGCTTAGGTATTACAGAGGCCTTTCTTAGTAACATAATGTTCCCCCGCGTCGCAGGAAAGATTACACCCGAAATGCATTCTTTTATCGTTCCATCACTATATATAATAAGAAACTGTCAAACATAGATTTCTTTAACACACCTCTGAAGAAGGCTAAAAAAGATCTTAAAAGAAAATTAAAGTAAAAAATAATTATAATTGATTAATAAATCGTTTTCTTTTAATAATTTTATTTTGTTACATTTTGGTTGGTTTCCTCTGATTTGATTTATTATTGTAATCGCTCGATTTTTTTTTATTACTGCATGAATACTTGTCCGATCACGTTTAAGCATGAAAACACTTTTTTTGTACTAAACTTGGGCATTGTATGTATTTTTAATAATTACTGTTTGTGAAATTATTGTTATTCTACATGACTGTTTGATACCAAAATAAAAATAAAAAAAAACATACATACAATCATCATTTGTTGATCACGTGATTCAATACTAACCTCTTTCCGATGGTATTTAGGTGCATTATTTTTAGGCGAATTAAAACGTTCGTATTTCTCGTAATAAGCCGTGAAGTAGGTGTGGTACCTAAAACAAGTCTTAAGCGTTAATAATGAAGATTTTAAAGTGCAATTTAAATCAGATGCTGCTTTCAATATTTTTTCTTTCCTTATTCACGAACTTCATGCTATAACTATTTGTCATGTCATAGCAATTGCGATCGTCACGTTTTTGAAAGATATTGAACGAATGCTATCTTTAGTTTGATTTAATTTAAATCACATAAGGCATTACACGCGAATATATTTTAAAGCTAAGGTAAATGTCAAAATAAATAGTTAACATGAATATGTTTAAATAAGTTGAATAGCTCGGTGGCGTAGTGGATAAGCGACGCGGCCCGCGATCGTAGTCGTTAAGCAACTTTCGCAAGGGTCGGTCACGGGATGGGTGACCGAAAAATTATTATCTCGAGCTACTACGTGCTTCGGAAGGCACGTTAAGCCGTTGTGCCCGGCTGCATTTGCAGTCGTTAATACCCTCCAATCCGCATTGGGCCAGAGTGGAGGGTCATGGCCCATCCTCCTTAACCATCCATAAGGAAGGCCTGAGCCCCTGCAGTGGGGACGTAAAAGGGCTGGTGGTAAAGTTTTATTGTGTTTTTATATCCTTTAAAATTATCATTCGTTTAATTCGGCTTAAGATGCGTTTCCCGTGCGTTACAAAAAAAAAGTTATGGTCTGTAGCAGCGCAGAGCAATTGCTCGAACGATGACACTCGTGCGGGTTCCGACCAATACAGTCGGAATGGTTCCTAAAAGTCAGAGGTCGGAATTAGGTAAAGTTATTTATGTACTTGCATCGAAATGTTGATATTAATGTGGACCTTCCCGGGATTTCTTTATTTCTTTCTTTCATTGATGTAAGTTTGGCAACGTCGTGCGTGCAGTAGTTCAAATTGTGTAAAAGTAAACAACTTTTTATTTAAAAAATCACGGAATTTTTTCTGCTCTTTAAAATTAATCTCGGGATTTGAGGCATATCCACTTTATTCTTTCACTGTATGAAATCAGAGTAAGTACATGAATAACTCTACCTAATTCCGTACATTGCTAATAGTGCACAACGATTGTAAACTTAATATAACAAAATTATTAGCATAATCGCACACGAACTCACCATCGATCGAACTGGTCTGCGGGTGTGGCAATGCGTGACGAGACTGGATCCAAATTTATCAATTGCGTCAGCATGCCGGGATAAGAAAGTTGATAAAAAAGTCCTGCAAGAAGAAATTGCAAAATTTAATGAGGAATTTCAATCTCAAGACGTATAACTTCTTTCGGAGGAGATTCCTTCAATAAAATTTGTAAAAAAAGAACAGCTCCTGGTCTGTGACGCTACAAATGTCATGTAAAATTTATATAAAGAAGGAAAATGGCGGAGTTTGCTTTTCGCAAGGCTCCATTGAAATTGTTTTAATAATGGATCGTGGGTTATCGTATCAAAATTTAAATGGCGGCTTCGTAAAATTTATCCAAAGCGTGGTAATGTTTATATTTTGCAAAAAAAATATCAATGATCAATCTAATAGATATAAAAATTTATCGGCGAAATATAAAAGTGTATAGAAGCGCATAAATTATTTAAGAAAATATGTAACAAATAAAATAATGTATGGCGGTACAAAATCCGCCGGGTCAGCTAGTCTATACTAATATGAAAAAAAAATTAAAGAAAAACAAAAAACCCGACTGCGAAAATACGAATTTAAAAAATACACGAAATAATTAACTTAAATTAAAACTAAAAAGAAAGAAACAAGCCCAGTAGTTTAGAATTTTGTTAAGTAATACAGAACAGAACGACTCACAGTCTTGGCCCCTTGGGAAGATTTGATAAGTAAAATTTGAATGGGCCCCGACAGTGAGTATTTAAAATGAAAGATGATAAAAGGAACCATTTTAAAATACCTATTCAACTTTTGTTCCCACTTGACATAGTTTATCGATATATATTTTTTTCATTTTGACAATATGGCGTCTGATTGTCGCTGTGGTGAATTTTGATTACTGTCATGTCTTTAGTGACACTCGCATGGTTAAGACGAATCGATTGACGTAAGAATCATCAAAATCGGCCTACGCATTTGGTTTCTAGAACGCCAAATAAAAACAAACATACATACATAGTCTGATAAACACATTACCCTCCTTTGCGTCGCGCAGTCGGGTAAAAAGAGGAAAAATTTGATCGCTTTCTTTATGTTTCTTTGTTTGCATCGAATAGCTTCCGAAATTACTGGCCCGATTTTATAAATTCTTTCACCTACGGGTAGCTACATTATATGGTCGCAGGAAAACAGCTAGTAAGAAATTAAACTAATAATTTATAAGAAACTGAAAAAGGTGCTTCGTGCTTCGGAATGTACGATAAGCCATTGGTTCTGTCTGCACCTATAGTAGTTAACATCCACCAATCCGCGCTGGGATCGCGTGGTGTATCACTATAGATTTGATTCTATTAAATATTAAATTTGATTTGAGTAAGGATATACACAACGAAAAACAGATAAACTATTTAAATTACATAAAATATTAGTTTTATACCTATCGCAGTTCCCATGGAGTGTCCTATAAACCGGAACTTCTCCCACCGGAAATGTCGCACCACTACAGTGATGACGTATACAAGATCGTATACACTCACCATCATTCCGGGGAGGTAATGGTCCGACTTACCGTTACCGGGCAACTCCACCGCTGAAAAACAGGAGAATCCGTCAGACTCAAAGAAAACATAATAAGCACTATGTAAGATGAAGCAGTCAGGGCTTGGAAACTGGTTTATTTTTTGAACCGGTTCGACGTAAGTATATGCGGAACTTTATATAAAAGGTTAAGCTTCTTTGAACAGGTTTTTTAATACCGGATCACTAAAAATACGGTTTAAATATGACCCCAGAAACGATCTCACAAACCTATACATATCTATAACATCCGTACACAGGTATGATAAATGGCGTCGCTCAAAAATGATATAATTCACGTTAAAATCGTAAGAACATTGCTTTTTACGAACCAAGCGAATTAACCGGTTTCTATTCCATCAGAATTTCACTCCGCATTTAGTTCCGATCCGGAACGGAACATTATAAGAGAACAGGTTTTACCTATTCTAAACCAATTTCAAGCCCTGGGAGCAGTATGCAGGTTGTAACATTAGAAACTTTATTTGTTCAAACATCCGGGTACGATTCCCGAACTGAAAACTAGTTTTTTCTTAAAATTATGAATAAATTAGAGATGCTCCGAATAGTGCTTCGCCGAGTAACCGAATAGTATTCGGTTTAACTTTTACCGAACCGGATATTCGGCCGAATTATTCGGTTTACAATTTCATTATTTTTATATAGCCAGAGTGTTTCTAAGAATACATAATAAGATATAGTAAGCCCTAATGCTTATTCGTCGGAAAGACTTAAAGATTGCTTATGTATAGCAATATTTATAAAAATAATTTATCTATGAATTATTTAGTAGTTGTTTGCACAGGAAACAATGAGTCTAATCCATATAATTTATTTTTAAATATATGTAAAATTATGCACGAATTACGTCATACAAATGTAATATTATTACCAATTATAATCAATAGACAGCTAAATATAAAAAAAATAATAACTTGAAGCTTTTGTGTAATACACAAGCAAATTGTATCATGTTGGAGTTAAGTGACATATGTTTAAATAATTTACAATTTTTAGAACATATGTCCATTAAATCAACCCTGTATATGAAGCCTCTTTTATGAAAAAAAATACAAGTCACTATATTGCAATATAAAAAATATGTTTAAGTGTACAATGAGCAATCAGTGAAGAAAGGAACGATTCCCTTTTATTTAACGCGAATACAAAAACCAAAAAATCTTGAGTCATGCCTATGCCAAGCCTAAGAGATAAGCGAGATAAATCTAGTAATTCGAACCAGTCAAACGAGGATTTCTTTTGTGAATAAGGATCGTGATAAAGTATAGATTATTTTTCATCAAAACATTGCAGTTTTACTGAATAAATTAGATAATTTAAATATAGTAATACACGATTTCCAAAATAGAGGAAAGGATATGAGCGTAATTTGTATAACAGAAACTTTTTTAATTATTTTAATTATTAAATTATTGAATACTGAACGCTACAAAATGTGTCCGCCATTATTATTTGTCTGTCAAAAAATTTTCTTACTTTTTTTTTCAATAAAACAAATTGTAATAATCTGTTTTTCTTTATACAGGCCCATCATCTCAACAATATATATATAAATTTTGAAAATCGGTCAACATTAGGCGGAAATATCAGTGCACGTAAATATAAAAAAATACATCGCCTTCGAAAATCCTTTTGGATTTTTAAAGTTTGTTAAAAATAAGAAAGATCTTTTGTCCAATCAGTGAATTTATATTTAATCAATTTCGCGTTCACAATGCCGTGCTGAAAAATGTATGAATTTATTCCCACTTATTTTATCCGATTGATTGATAAGAGGCATTTCAAATTTTAATATACTGTTATCGTTTATCTGAATAATATAGTTTATCAAATGATTTTATGGGTAGATGGAAACATTTACATTTTGTCATAATACTTTTCAAGCCCGATATCAAAGAAAACCGCTTAAGCGCGAGTCGGACTCGCGCACGTAGGGTTCCTTACCATTATACGTAAAAAACGCAAAATATATCAAGTTTATTGTTCTCTATCGAGCTGTACGAAATTTTCGAATAAATTACAATGTCTTCAAGATTTAATTTTACTACAAATACAACTATCCAGTACAAGTAGTTTTTGTGCTGACGAAACTGTAAGAAATGTTGGCTACAGAACCCTAAAAACGGCAAATATACTGTTGTTATATCGGCAACAGAACACATCATCTGTAATTTTTTTTTTAATTAAGTAGCTAAATTACTCTTAAACTCGCTCATAAAAATTAACAACAAAAATGCAAGACATACCAATATAATAGAAGTCCCTTGGCAGCAGGTTCAACAGTGGACGGAAGGTGGCAGCACTGTCTATTGCCCCGTGACATAACAGGACCGGTGGTGAACTACATTCACCCCATGCCACTACTATAAACATACAAAATAATAACTATTGTAACAATAACTATTGAATTCTTTTTAAACAGTGCATTTTGATAGTGTTTGTTACTCAGGGTTTCCCAAAGTGGGGCACACGAACCCCTAGGGGTTCGTTATTCGACAGTAGGGGATTGCGACAAGAATAACGTAATGGTTCTATCACTCGTATCTGTCGAGAGAAGTACTTACTTGAGTTCGTTATTACAGAAAACTAACCAGCTTCAAGCTGAGAAATAGTAGGAGAATAATAATAATAATAATTCATTTATTTTGCAACCACACAACGTACAAATAACAAATTGTATGAAAAAATAAACACAACGTGTTCCCCTTAAAAGGTATCCATTTAGCGTAGTGCCGAGACGTCATTGAGATACCTCGTCATTAAATAAACGACTTATTTTCTTCAAAAACCAAATATTTCATTGTTTCTTTTGGGCGGGGGAAGGTATTTGTTTAGTTAGTTATGAGGTTCGCTGAAAATTTGAATCTTTTCCAATTAACATAAGAGTTCATGGAGTCCAAAGATTGAGAAACACTGCTATTAATCATAGACATCTTTTTCTCATTCGTTTAACCTTTTTTTTTATCACTGCCGCCTGGCAAGCGACTACTTTATTATTAAGACGCTAGATTTGATTGAATAAGTTCCAAAATTACTGGACCGATTTTTTAAGTTCTTTCCTAAACCTACACCACCTACATATTGTTTAATTCAAATTTATTTATTTGCCAAAGTCTTGAGTACATAAACAAACACAAGCAAGCAAGCCAAGTCAAATCCCGACAAAATTCTGCGTAGATCGGAGTAAATCGATTAATTTAGGCCTTCAATTCATAATAAATATCAATAATTAAATTATAATTCACACCATTCATTGACAATAAAATTGTCAATGACAAGAGTGAATTAGTATTTAATTAACATACACTTAACATTGTAATGATGAGAAAGTATTTAAAAAACACTAGTTCCCGAAATCAAACTAGATGTCGCTACGGTAGGTTCTTGATTTCTCCATGACAACCTTTCCGGTTTTCTTTTAAGTTTCAAAGTAAATTAATTTTCAAAACTCAATAAACAACTCATATTCTCTTTGTACTTTTTCGTATTTGTATTAATATCTAAGTTTCGAACTTTTCAAATTTCAGTTTTTTCATATGTTAGTCAAAAGGAACGAAAATGACTGTCTTTGATCCATTCATTTCCTGCAAAAATCAACTTTGGTAGATTCGCCATCTAGTGGAGGCGCTTTTTTAGTGCTTTCGTTTTTTTAAATACTTCCTCATACTGTTGTATTATAAATGTGAAAGTTTCCTTGTTTGGATGTTTGTCGGTCAATCACGCTGAAACTAATGAACGGATTTTGATGAAATTTGGTATACAGATAGGGTATTAGCTGACTTAGATAATATGATACTTTTTATCCAACTAAACATTTCCCTAGGGACCACGCGGGCGAAGCCGCTGGCGAAAGCTAGTAATAACCAGAGATCGGAATTAGGTAGAGTTATTTATGTACTTGCATCGATATGTTGATATTAATGTGGACCTTCCCGAGATTTCTAATGGACAATCCCGTGTGGCCAACAATCTTACAACTAAATAATAATAACAACGTCAGAGATAGACAAATAAAACAAAGATAATTAACATAAAATTTTTATTAGTTTACATTAATTTACAATACAAATTTTGCAACTTTGGACATCCGATGTCATTGATGTAAGTTTGGCAACGTCGTGCGTGCACTAGTTTAAATTGTGTAAAAGTAAATAACTTTTTATTTAAAAAATCACGGGATTTTTTCTGCTCTTTAAAATTAATCTCGGGATTTGAGGCATATCCACTTTATTCTTTCGCTGTATGAAATCAGTGTAAGTACATGAATAACTCTACCTAATTCCGACCACTGGTAATAACATATGTTAAGTAAAATTTAAACAAATTAGTTTTCAATGAGTGATTAGTTCAAATTTTCAAAGCGTCTGGTATTTTTTTATATATACGAATGGCCATGCAATTGATACTTTACTGTTAACACGCAACCATTGAGATGGGACATAATCGTTAGCTTGGCTTCAAAACTAAACTAAAAAAAATATCTTTTGGATGCACAAATAGCTATAGCTATATATAATGCAAATAACTCTTATATATAGTGGCTTCTTGTAATGGATTGATATTAATTTCCAAAAGTTGCTTAATTTTAAATTCTCATTTTTATTAAATGTATATGTGCATGTTATTTATATTTATGGTGACATGTAAAACGGGATTGAACCTAAACAGGCACAGTCTCCCACAAATGACCCTTAATAGGATAACCTTACTCTACATCCTCTTGTAATGTTATTTGTGTTGGAAATGAATATTATTATTTATGGTGAATGTAATGGATGATTTATTTTAAAATATGAATAAATTACAATACACATACATAATTATAGTTGAAATAGTTACTATTTTTAAATGAATTTGTTATTTGTAATGTTTAATTTCTTTTAATTTTTAATTTCTTGTAAGAGGTTTTCATGTCGACAATTTGACATCTATGTGTCAAAAAGAGACAATTAGGTGTCTATTGAAAATCTGCATCAGGTTTAGCAACTTGACAGTGAGCTGAATTGGCTGCCTATTTTGGTGCAATATGTGATGCATTTTTTTTCTTTTTTTAATTATATTTTATTTAATTTGCTTGCATCTATGTATCTTAAAATTAGTTTGGTGACTGTATTTTGAGGATATGATCTGCTATTCCATGAATACAGCACTTTATCTAGGTGTAAGATTTGGCTTAGTGAGTATACCAGATTGCTTACTTTAATCATATAACAAAAATAAACACTAAGTATAGATCAAACTTGACAACTGACACTAGGAATACATAATTATAAAACATAATTATACTATATACCTACTAAAGTATCAAAAATATTTTTTCCTAAACACATTTGAGTCATCATTGACAAAGAAAAATATATTTTATCCAAAAAACTTAGAAAAGTGACAAAGGAACTTAGAAATTTTACCAACAACATTAGAATGTGTATATAAAATTAAAAGTTTGTACATCATCAAATCAAAACAGCTAATTATATATATTGTTATAAATAGTCTTAATAAAACACTATTTATTTGATTTATTACTGACTTTGTAGTAATATGTACAATCATTTTTGATCGTGGAAATTTACACAAAAATATCCAAGCAATGAATACAAAATATGAAGGTGTATTTGAACAAAATTAAAGGTTATAAAAAAAAGTAAGATTATCTACAATAACTTCAAATATTAGAGCATTTTAAAATATTACACCTTTTTTATTTGCAGACGGAGTTAACCGGTTTATGGAGTCATAATGCAACAGACACACTAAAGAGTTTATGATTTTGGAATTAAAAAAGTTATTGTGACCTATTTATCAATGTCAAGTACATGTTAACTGATTCAATACATGTTTACTTACTTAATGTTTCGAAAAACAAATCTGTTAATTAGCATATTCTAAAGTTTTTATTCCTGATCTGAGAACCTACAAGTCTTATTACAAATAACTTTTCTGTGTGAAGTAAAAGTAAAATGCAAGTTGCAAATTATTCTCAGCAATAGATTGTTGATTTTCATTGATAATTATTTTATATATTTAAGTTTTCCATATTAATGGATTTTTAAAATGTACACCATAAAAACAACCGTGATTATTCTTCTGTCACATTCAAAAAATACTTTATTAATTTAATTTTTACTGAAAGTATATAGTAAGAAATTCGACCAAAACATTCATATTTCCTTAGTTAAATTTTATTACTAAAAAGAAGAATAAAACTTACTGCATATTTTTCCCCAGGGCGCTTTTATAAACCATTCCTTTTCTAACAAACCCATTAGATCGTATTTAATCGCAGTAAATATGAATTGATAATATATAGATTGTTTAAATAGGTTGCTCGTTATTTTACTAATATTTGTCCTTAAAACTCCTGAGCAGCAGTAGTAGTAATTTCGACCAAAACTCCTGAATGAAAGTAGTTTACTTGTACGTGTTTAACGTAAAAGTTTTAAAAAAGAACAAACAAGGTTCGAATTCCATTCCGCTCAAGAACTGATAAAAGTGATAAACAAAAAGTGACGTCACCGATAGGGTTGCCGCTGGCATTAAATTAGCTCTACTGACAACTTGTAAAGAACAATGACCAAAATGGACTACGAAAAAAAAGTTCTTGTACCAAGATGGAACTATTACCAAAATGTAGTATAAGTTGAATGTAATTATTATATACCAACAATTTATTTTTAAAAGCTGGGAAAAGAAAGATATTCCTCTCTAAAATATGTCTTTATTTTTTAGAACGCAGTTTAAATTATGTTATTTTTGAACGCATCTTAATAATAATGTCATTCTAGAGAAGTCCCTCTCTTTTCAAATAACAAGATCGATTTTATTTCCGACTAATCTAATTTGATACAAATCTTATATTATTTACTAACCATATAAATCCATGAAAATTATAAAACTTAGATGAGATAACTAATATGATTAGATGTTAACTAGAGGAAAATTGTTTATTTATAATGAAATTAAAAACTAATGATTATTCATAAGAATCGATATTACATTATTCAATAATCGATTGCGACCTCCCATTTTTAGACAAGTATGTGTAGACGTGTTTCTACGCAGACCGTTTTGTAACTTTGGCGGTGATTTTGTATTATCTTCTGTATTATGGGCATAGACATAAAAGAAGAGGACCGGCCATACCTACGAAAAAAGCGTATATGCCTAAACTTCAAATGCAAATTCTTCGATGGCGGATTGTCATAGGGCGTGACCCAAGATATCGATATTTGTATCGACATTGAAGTCATATTAAATAAAAGTTAGTATTTCGTGAAACTGCTACAATACTACTACTAATTAAATAATACAATATAATTTTCATTGTTAGGGGCATGGCTAAACTATTACCTATTACACTTCTATTCATTTCACACTTACGTACCAATCCTATTTATGATTATTATTAATTAAATTGAAAAATTCACGCCAGTATCAAGAAAATAATATTTTTTTTAAAAGTGGCGTGAATTTATCAATTATTTATAAATCATTAAGCAATCTTTTGCTCGTATTTTGTTGGGCATCTAAAATTTCTTGCGTTCTTTGTTCTTGCGACTCCGTTGCGTCACTATAGTAAATATAACATATGTTACCAGCGTATGATGGCGCTTCCCACGGGTAAAAGATTATTCGTATTCCAAATTTCATCAAAATCCGTTCAGTAGTTTTTACATGAGAGTAACCAACATCCATTCTCACAAACTTTCACATTTATATTATTTAATAATATAATTTTATAATATGATTGTACCTCGATAAATATGTTTCTTTTTCCTCTAATATAGCCAATTTTACATAGTTTTAAGAACTATAGTACCAAAATATATATCTTAAAAGTTTTACAATAATATCAATCGTGTTTTATAATTATTTCCATATATATTGTAAAGTTGATATTTTGCAACTATAATTAAATAGTTTTTTTTTAACATAAGTTTAATTTTGCATCCACGGGAAGTGTGACCACTGTCCAAGATAACTGCCACGGTAACTATAATAAGCTAAATGAGTCGATTGACGAATGAATTATTATGTTTTTTTTTGTCTGTTATATATTTTTTATTGTTATAGTGGAAAGTGACATTTTGGTCCAATGAAGTCATTTTTTATCTTTCAGTAGGAAATTAAACAGGGTGCAAAAGCAGCACTTGCAGTTTCTTACCGGTTCCCCTTCTTCTTTTCTCGGTACAAGGTTTCCCGTAATAGATTGCTGAACTATAAGCACAGAGTTTCGACTTTCTTATATGCTTGTAACTAGTAAGCCAACTTGTCTATAAATTTATTCAATAAATTGTTTTGACTGAATAAATTTCGCTTCCTCCTCATTAAGTGAGATACCGTGCGTACTGTGTCACAATTTTAGTTCAGAACATCTTGTTTAGTAGTAAACATAGAAAACTTGAAACACCTACATAATCTTTGTATCATATTATTGGTAAAAGAACATAAAAATACTGTAAACTTTGATGAATAAACAAGACAAAATAAAGAAAACAAAGTTGGTGATGAATAAGTTACAATTGGCATAACAGTAACATTATTAAAGAAGTAACAATTGGCATTTTATTTAAAAATTTGGTTAGCAAGAAGAAAACAGCCGATTAATCAATAGGCAAGCATACAAATATTTTCTCAGCACTAAAACAGTCTGCAATTCATGTTCTGTGAACAATCATGATAACGGTCAGCAATTTAAATTCAAAAAGGTAGCGTATTTTATGATGCATCAGCAAAATAAACATCCACGCCGCAAAATAATTATTTGGGTATTAAGATTATACTATTGAACAGCAAAGAAAACCTTTAACTATGCCTTTAATTTGATAAGTGTGCATATTTTAATTTTTATTAAAATTATTTAACTCATTTTATTGTATATTTTACTGGGAGTATATTATGATCAGAATTTTATATTTTAATATTATTATATATTGCATTCTGATTTTTTTCAATTAAAATAGTCGTCATATGACCGCCAGACTAAAAATAAGGTACATTTATAAAATAACAAAATGACTATATAAAAAACTAAATAAATAAATCAGTAAAATCAAATGAAAATTAACTAAGTGTAATAGACATTTTTTTTTTTTAAATAAGTTAAAAGCAATTGTCAAAAATTCTTACCAGAGTATTTGATTGGCAATGCATCATCTCGTAATTTTATTATATTTAAAGTTCGATTCAAACAACTTTCCCTAAAATGAAGTGAGCAGATAAAAGTAACTTTTTCATTACATTTAATATTTTCTGCTTCTATGTAACTCGGCCATTTTCCTCTTTTGTTTCATCTTTTGGTAATCTAAAATAATTAATATATTTTTAAATATTAAAATTATCGATATAAACCATATGTTAAAGTAACGACACTAGCCATGTAAACAATATTATTTACGGACCGAAATATTATAAAAATATGAACGAAAAGAGCAATATAGCATAAATAGAACACGCCAAAATACGATATGTATCGATTTATACACGCAATCATTTTCAGAATAACTTACTTACGTTTTAAATACTGTTATTCCAAGAAAGTCTTTAACTTACCGGTGAAACGTAATATTGCTCGGTTTGCGGGATATTGATGACGCACAACCAATTATACAGCACCTAGGCATTGTTTTGCATAAATAATTTACAATTTTCTGCCATGAAAGTTATATAAATTAAAGTTATAAATGAAAATAACCACAAAACTTATAACACTGACAGCTGAACTACTTCCGAGAATACGCAAAGCAAATTTGCAAATGGCTGACAGGTGGTACGATAGCTATATCTCATGACGTCACGTAAAAAAATTTGAACTGTCACACTAGTGTTATCTTTGTTTACTAAAGAAACTTCTTATTAGTTAAAAAAGGACAACATGATGTTTTTGATGTCAACTTCAGATTGCATGATATTTATATAACCATAGAAAATATTTCCACTCTACCTTACTCTATGATTATGGGGAGCATACTAGGTTCTATGGGCAGTATAGAATTGACATCTGTAGAGAAATACCGAATTCTCTGAATTTATTAGAATTAGACATAAATATAAATAAAGTCCTAATTATAAGGGGTAGAATTAAGTCGTAACATTGGGAGGAAACAATATTATGTGTACATTTTAATAAATAATTACACATCCGGGTTAGATGGCATAAGAGAACACTGCTGTAATTGTTTTATTGGTCGATGTACACTGGGATGCTATGCTCATATAATGACCATAGTTTGGTATCTTGGATGGGCCAGACATGAACAGAATGTAGCTGCTCCTGCAGCATTCCGTGATGAGGTATTCAATAGAGTTGTAATAAAGAAAAGAAAAATCAACATGTTGTTTTGCTTTATCCTTTTGACATTAGTATTTTCACTACTACTTTATATAAGTTATAGTGTAAGATGGAAAAGTAGAGTTATTGAGAACACTCTTAAAAATTCTATTATTTTTTTGATGTTCATTGGTTCACAAAAAATGATTTTATTTCTTACAGTCAATAAAAATAATATATCAGATATGGAGCAAGTTTGAAGTATTATGTGAAAGTATGCACTTCTAGGACCACGATTAGGCATTATCTGACGTGTGCTTTACATATTTCAACTGTAATACCTCTAACTTAAAATGCTACAGTTTAAATAATACGACATAACCTCAAAAACATATTACACAATTACTCGATACTCCCAGCTTTTAAAAATATATTAAATGTCTTTCTTTGTTCTAGTTGTATAGACAAACAAAATAATATATGTTTCATCAAGTTACGTTTTATTCGATTTTACTAGTCCAAGCATGTTAGGCAGATGGCCATTGTTCTTTAATTTGAAATTATGTACAAAAATCTTTTTTTTTTTCAATTTATAAAATTAGATAAACTACCTTATATATAAATACAATTAAATGTATAACAATTAAATACCTTAAATAAAAAAGATAACTAATTTACCATTTTGTACGACTATCCTTTCGTAGTCGAATCGCAAAGAAAGACGAACCGAGAATTTTTTGGATTTTGCATATTATACTCATTAAAACGAGTTACATATAATATAACATTTTAATGGTTCTACATTCCGAGTTCCAATTTCCAATTCCACGTTCAAACCGAGTTACAATGACCTCAGCGTCATACTCAGAATGTTAGTTGGTCAGTTCCACAAACTACACGGTCAGTTCTGTACAAAAGAAGATTCTCAGTGCGCCATATAAGTTAGATTAAAACCTAGAACATTCCAGGCTGGCCTCAGCCCTACCTTTGTATTTGTTCCATTACCCAAAGGCGGGTAGAGACTAGAGTCTGGCAAGCGAAACGTGTCACAAGAAAAGGGCGGCAATTTCAAAAATTCTTAAGCAGTAAACACTGAATGTAGTACTGCAAAATAATTTTGATACTTTTATTAATTATATTTAATCTTAACATTTAGATATCAATTAAAATTATTTGTTTTGGAACATTTGACTAAAGCGTGACTGTTCTTAATTGTACAGTTAACAGCATATCAGTAGGCCTATTCACTAACTCAACTGACAACCAAGAATCGTCATCACCGTAAAAAATAGACACTTTGATTGTGTCAAAATCACTATTTCGTATTCTCTATCAATGATGAGCAATTTCGAAATGTCAATATCGGCATTCTCCACTGGACTCCATTTTGACACTTGATTTCGTATCGATAAACTGTATTAAAGTAACATTGTTGCAAAGCATATTTGAAGTCGTCGCATAGTACCTCTTAAGCCATTTGTTGTTAAATTAAAGCGAAAAAAAATACGTATCCAATATTTTTCTATTATCTGACTGACGGACTAAATCGAATCTTTTTTTTAACCCATTCGTTATACCTATTGGCTAACAGCACTTATAATATTAAAAATTCATATTTGTCATTAATTAAAAGGGTGTTTTTTGCAACGACTTCTTTGTTTTTTTGTAATGAATATGGGCGACTCTGGCCACATTTTTTTAATAAATGTGATGTTAGCCAATTTTGATTTCTGGCCCTTATATTTATAATGTGTTCATAACACATACATGTCTCCTAAGGGATTTTCATCACAACCTTTTGCTCTGATCCAGAACCACTATCTATCAAATTAAATTAGTCAATATAAACACCAGATTACAATAAAAAAAAACATTTATTTTTGTTACAATTAAGTGCCATGGATAAATTACATAATACAGGTGTCACAAAATCATCATGTTAATCACAATAGAAAATTTAAGATAAGATTTTGACTATGAATCAGACTAAAAATACTTTAGTCTGATTCATAGTCAAAATCTGTTTCTAAATATTCTACACCTGATAACAATGACAAGGAATCATCAGAGTCACTCTCTTCACTACTGTCTGCACCAACAGATATAATAAATTTTTCAAGTTCGTTTTCAACAATGCCATCTTTTAATTTGTAATCATTTTCGACATTTAAAACATGATCAGTGTATTTCTTCCAGTCACTAGGGGTAATTAAGTTAAAACACTCTATTATTAAGTTTTCCATTTCCTTTCCTGGTATTCCAATGTTTCTGCTTGCAATTTTTCTTTTTGCTTGACTCCAAACCATCTCTATTGGGTTTAAGTCACAATGATACGGTGGCAGCAATAAAAGTTCATGATTATGTTCTTTTAAAATCTCTTCAGCTTCATATACAGGCAATGTTTTCTTATCATTAACCAAACACATTAACTCTGCCTTTGTCTGATATTCCTCAAAATGTATTCCATTATTTACAAGCCATTTACGGATATCTGCTTTGGTATTAGACATTATAGGCGGTTTATTGATTTGTTTTATATGGTAGCTGGCATTATCCATAACAATTACACTGGGCTTACTTAAATTTGGTATTAATTTTTCTCTGACCCATTTCATAAAGTTCGATGAGTTCATATCATCATGATAATCAGCAGATTTGGATTTACTACTGAACACTAATAATGCACCAGGCACAAAACCTTCCTCAGATCCAGCATGCACAACAATATGCCGTTTTCCAGAGGATATCTTTGTAGTGACACCAGTTGTTGAAGGTCCTTGCCAAGACTTTTTAACTTTATAATTCTGATGTACATAAGTTTCATCAAGGTACACAATTTGCTTTCCTTCGTTTCGTTTTATATTTATTTCTCTCAAATACTTGTGCCTCCATGCAGAAATCTGGTATTTTTCTATAAGCATAGAACGTTCATTTTCATTGCTTTTAAAAGAAAATCCATTCTTAAGCATAATTTTTCGTAAAGTCTCACGGCTACCACTGAATCCTATTGCATCTTTTAATTCATTGTGAAGGCTTCTTAATGTTGGAACAATTTTTTTCACACAGTAAAATTCATTTACTTTATTCCGAATTGCACTTAAATCAAAATTATCTAAAGCAGACACTGTTGGTTGATGAGGTCGTTTTTTCCCAGGAGTGTCCCATTTTCCTTTATTAATTAATGCTTCATTTTTTATCCTTCTTAGTGTCCTTATACTTACATCTATAAAAGATTAAACACTTTGAAACAAAGATATGTTAAATGTATTTAAAAGCAAATAATGATAGACACATACATCAAAATAATTTAAATACCTATTCAACTATGAATGCAATTTATGTTTAATTTAGTTAAGTTTATGTGCATATTTAGCATGTATAACAATTACATGGTTTGATTAGTTTCATGAATTCTGTGAATTTCCTTGTTAAACAAAACATTCTTATGACATCATTGGATGTCAACAATAAAAACCAATACATCATAAAAAACCTATGTAAATATTATAGGAATACTATCAATCTATCTTAAATCAAAACAAGAAAAGAGACCTGTCATTGAAGAAATTTTTTGTAAGTACTGCGTTTCCGAATTCAGCATTTCTTGTTTTTCTAAAGTTTTTATTGCATTTATCTCCTCCATTATTGGTTGAATATCACCATCACAGTTATCTGAAATAGAGCAATATTTTATAAAAAATATCTGTTTAGTTAATTACAGAAAATTAAAACGAAAGTATCAAAATTATAATACAAAACTAACCTAAAAAAGATACAACTTTATCTAATCGTTGTAATTTCTCCATGAAATTTTTATTTAATTCAGTTTTCACTTCAGTAAACTTGTCAATCATGATGGAAAGAAGTTTCCTCGATGAACTTTTTATCGGCTTCGACATAATTTTTAACCAAAAACACAAGTTCAAATTCGCAAAAACAACAAAATTCAATATTCTTGAATTGTCTAACGTAGTGTCAAACTGACAGTTCTATGTTGTTGCCATATGAAAACGGAAAAATAGGTGGTGTCACGTTTCGCTTGCCAAACTCTAGTAAAGGAATCGCAGGGCAGTTCACTTATATCACTGAGACGTATTTACTAGAACAGATCCATCTACTAGGTAATGTATAATACTATGCCGCACATATTATAATTTTCTAAATACTTTATCCACCAAGTATTCATCATAAAGATATAAACAAGAAACAAATGGTAAAAATTGAAATGATTCTGGTAACACTGACCCTAAAATGTTCAGTGTTCAGAGCCGAATTAATTATTTAAAAAAAAAAATACTTGCGCAAGCGCATAGGTAAACATTGTTATCACTTATTTTCATTGATTATTTTTAATACAATGGTGTAAATCATAGAAAATACATAATACCGGTAGTAAGCTTAGTGGTAATATTTGTTACTAAATAATGGAAAGTGATTCAAATGAGTTTTTTGTGAAAGTGCCTTGGGGAAATATAGCCTGTGAGTGTACATAATTAAATATTTTCTGTTATGGTACTAGTCGCAGCGCAGAACACGGTTGAAATTAGTAAATTATATCTATCGAATTTGAGTAATAATGTTATCATTTGTAATAAACAATTTTATCATGTTCCATCAGATGTTTTATTACGTTATAACAGAAATTCGTCACCATTCTTAAATTTAATTTTTTCTATCTCGATTTCCATTATAATTAAAATATTAAGTATTAGGAAAAATCTTAATAAAGTAAAAAAAAAAAATCAAAATCAAAATTATTTATTCTGTCTAGGCCAGGGGTGGGCAGACTTTCACTAATGGCGATCTATATCAATAAATTGAGACGACAAGCGATCGACTTGCAATAAGACAATATTTTTTTATGTTAAATCGTTTATTGTAGGTATTGCGCACATATCACTATTTAAATATACTTTTATTTACAATTAAAGAAGTACAGTTTCTTATTATACAAGTTAATAACTAATAACTACTAAAAATAAATATGAAGCCAATCACATGAACTAAGAGTGTTTTTATCAGTTTTCGGGCCTCTCTGGACTGATTTACTTAGAGGTCGATGCATGGCACTGCGTATTTTCTGCTAATTTCTCATAGGAAGGCACGTATTTAGTAAGTGCCAAACGTAAACAGGAAGACAAATGTTCGTCGGTAAGTCGATTGCGGTATTTGGATTTAATTATTTTCATTTCAGAAAACGTAGATTCGCACAAATACGTCGACCCAAACAAAGCAGTTAATTGCTGTGCGATTTGTTGGAGACTTGGGTATTTTTCTTGGGTCAAAAGAGACCAAAATCTGATATCTGTTGCTTTGGCTTTTAGGTGAACATCTGAAATGATCTGTATCATCTCGTTTTCGAGAGAAGACAAATCCATGTCAAAAGTGTTCGATATTTCAAAAGCAGTAATTTCAACATCCACACAAGAAAAAGGATAAATCATGAAAGTAACAACGTTCGTAAATTTTTGTAAGTCAGAAAAACGTCTTTCAAACTCGCTGAGAATATTTCCAAGTTCTGTTTCGTATTTATTATAATTTATTACGGCGCTTGTTTTTGCTTTCAAACACGCAAAATTTTTCAAGTCCTTTTTTTTCAGTTGGTTGATCAGAAGCTGCAATTTACTTTTAAATGAGTTAATTGTGCTAATCATGTCCATAATACTTTTATCTTTCCCTTGTAGCTCCAGGTTTATAGAATTCAAATGACCAGTCACATCAGTAAGGAAAGCCAAATCACACAGCCAACTTTCACTTTTAAGAATCTCCGTGTCATCACCCCTTTGATCCAGAAAAGAAATGATTTCAGGTAGTAATTCTTGAAACCGTTCTAAGAACTTTCCCCGGCTCAGCCACCTTACGTCTGTATGGAGCAATAAATCTGTGTGCTCAGATTCGCTGGCCTCCAATTGCACTTTGAAGAGGCGTCGTTGCAAGCTTCTGGCTCGTATAGAATTTACGATCTTCATAGTGATGCTCATCACATCTGCCATGTTCAGTACTTTCGAACACAACACCTGCTGATGAATGACGCAATGAAAAGAAAAAAAAGATGGGAAGTCTTCATTAGCTCTGCACAGTGCCACAAATCCATTAGTCTTTCCAGTCATTGATGGTGCTCCATCTGTTGTTATGCACACTAGTTTATACAGAGGCAGCTCGTAGTTTTTCGCAAAACTTAGAAAAGCATCGTATATGTCTGAACCGCGAGTGGTTTCTTTCAAAGGTATGATTGTTAAGAACTCTTCTTTAGACGACGTATCTGGAAATGCCATCCGAATAAACACACATAGCTGGGCAGTGTCAATCATATCAGTGGATTCATCAAATTGTAAAGAAAAGAATGAACATCTCATAATATCACTTTTTAGCTTTTGCTCGATATCACTGTTCATGAGCTCAACACGTCTAGTTACAGTCCGACGAGACAACTGGAGCTCTTTTATGGCAGACATGATTTCAGTTTTATTTTTAAAGTCGCCAAATAATGAATTTACGCCTTCGAGAAATGCTTTTTTCAATACCTCGCCATCTTCAAAGGGTTTTTTGTGTTTTGCCAATATATGAGATATTTTGAAGGACGCAACTGTCGCAGCTTCCGATTGTTTACTTGGCCTGGTAAACATAGCTTGCTCGGCCTTCAAGCTACCTTTCAGATCTTGAACTTTCTGACGTCTTATTTCACTTTTGAGAGGAAAATCACTTTCGTAAATTTTATGCAAGGATTTATGATGCCTTTCTAAGTTGCCGCGTTTAGGCAAAGCTACTGAAGCTCGACAAACAAGACAAATACACTTGTCTTTCACCATGGTAAATAAGAATTCTTCTTCCCATTCATCGTTGAAATGATAAGTTTTACTTTTTTTTGGCGCACTCATTTTAAATAATAGTTACCAACTTCACTCTCTCCTTTAGTTACCCTCAGTACAAAATATATTCATGAGCAGCACGAAGTCACACGATCACGAAAGTTATTGGGAAACATAAACAAGTACAGAATCCAGAATCACGACATGACGTCTCACCGAAACCAAAATCTGTGCGAGACTGGCGAACACGTGCCGGCCGTCGGTAATTGTCAAAGCAAAGTAAATCGGGCGGCAAGCATAAAGCTAATTCGCCGCCCGCACAGGTCAAAGGACGCCGCCGCGCCGTTTAATGAGCCGACACCGGCACACGTGCACAGTACAGCCGCAAATAAATCTGGTGCCTTCTTATTTCATATCGACATTTTCGCAGTGAAAGGTTGTTTGTTGACAAGTATTTTCTTCTTAAAGTTACGCGCGTGTAAAATAAAATGTTTTTTATGAACGCACTTTAGATACTGGTATTTTGACTGGTGAAAAGACCACTGTTATTGGAATTAGCCCAACACGTCAGTACATTTTTAGGAATGCGATCGACCATAGATTCCCTTGCGATCGACCGGTCGATCGCGATCGACCGTTTGCCCACCCCTGGTCTAGGCTGTTACAAGCACTTATGAAAGTCGAGAGCTACGCCATCGGTTCGTAAATCTACGGCGGGAGACCTTGTACCGAAAAGAACCGGCAAGAAACTCGGCAAGGGCTGCTTTTTTCTCCCTGTTTTATTTCATACAGAGCGTCAAGATTGAAAAATGACTTTATTAAAATATGAAGTCACTTTGTATTACAATATTACACAATATAAGAGTAAAACAGTATTTTCGTCAAATCAATCACATGTTTAGCCAAAGAAGCTCACCGATAAACAATTTAATATACATGAAAAATGAGCCATATTTAACATCAAACAGTTTCGTCGTTTAAATATTCATTAACAGTATCCTTTACTGAGAAGACAATTCTTAATATGGGTTTTAAACTTAGGTAATGGAAATTTGAAATTTCCATAGGAATTTTGTTATAATAGTGTACACCTTGACCCATAAATGATCATAGAACCTTCTTTAATCTGCATGACGGCAAAACAAGTTTATCTTTGTTTCTAGTATTAAAATTGTGTACATGACTATGTTTAATATAATTGTTAATATTGTTTCTAACATAAAGTATACAATTCTATATGAATTGGGAGGCCATTGTTAATATCCCAATTTCTTTGAATTTATCTCTAAGTGATGTTCTTGAACCCAATTGATAAATAACCCTTACTGCTCTTTTTTGTAAAATAAATATAGACTATATCTGCAGCCATACCCCACATCAGAATGACATAACATAACCATGTGACATAACGCTATTGAAATAACTAAAGTATATTGTCGTAGCGGTATCTACGTCTGTAAGTTGCCTAATTTTTTTTATTGCAAAGGCAGCTGAACTTAGTTTTTCTGCCAATAATGAAATTTGAGGATGCCATTGCAATTTAGAATCCAGAGTTACACCTAAGAAGATTGTTGAATCAACCAACTCGAGCTTTTCATCATTAAGTTTAATTTCTGTTCATTCAGCATTTACATTAGGTAACATAAACTTTATATATTTCGTTTTTTTATCATTTAACTAGAGTTTATTGACAGTAAACCAACCAATATATGTGCAAAAATTCTTTTCGGTTTCGAATTAATATATTTAATACTGGCTGTACCTGCGATTTCGTCTGCGTGGGAAAGTATAACAGGAAAGAAAGAATTCTTTCCTATGGATGGGATCGAATAGAGTAGGATCAATGGTCCCGCAATTAACGCACTACGCAATCCTAATGCGGAGGAAGTATTGAGAAAAAAACGAAAGCACTAAAAAGCACCTCCTCTAGATGGCGACTCTAGCAAAAGTTGATATTTGCAGGAAACGAATGGACCAAAGACAGTCACTAAAAAAAAAAACTGAAATTTGAAAAGTTCGAAACTCAGATATCAATACAAATACGAAAAAGTACAAATCGAATATGAGTTGTTCAGTTGTTCAGCCGGACCAACGGCTTAACTTGCATTCGGTCATCCATTCTATGAACGGCCCTTACGATAGTTATTTTTCATTTTTTTTTCTCGTATTAGTAATACTTACGCTATTTCAACGGTTCTTCTTTTGATTTTGACCTTTTTAAAATGTTATTAGCTTATCTGTCTAGTTGTGTGCGCAATTTATTATTATTTGTTATGTTTTGCCATCCAATGTTAGGTTGCCTGAAAGAAACCTTTGGGTAGCGCTAAGTTTGTCTTAGGTTCATATTTATGAATGTTATGTATGTAAAATATTTATGTATGATCGTGTAATTTTCTTGTTGTACAATTAAGACTTTACTTACTTACTTAACCGAATCGTAAACCGAATGCGCTAATCTCTATTGTTTTTTTTGCCTCGAATTAGTTCCGAAACCACTGAACCGATTTAAAAAATCCTATCCGATCCTATTTCAAGGGGGTGAGTAGGACTGTGCTCCGAGAAGCCATCCAGCCTAAGCCGAGTCTCCAGGACACTCAAGTATCGTTGGTCCCATCGCAGATGGAGAGGCTCGGGTCCATCGAAACCTAACCTGATAAGAATTTACTATCGAAAAACTTATACGTGCGTTCACAGTTCTTTTTTCTGCTCTTTTCGCTCGATTTCTTACTCGCGTTATCGTATACTACATGTACATTATAAGCTTCAATTTCAATTTCAATTTCAATTTATTTATTAGCCATTTATAACAATATTGTTATACAAGGTATGTCAGTTCACAATTCATAGTTCAATTAAATCTTAATCTCAAGAGAAAAAAAAACTTACAGTATCTAATTACATCATATCATAAAAGTAGATTCGCTTATACGCATCGTCAAAAATTCATTTAAGGAATAGAGAGGATTTTGCTCAAAAAAAGATTTCAGAATAGTTTTAAAGCTACTGTGGTTTTTGTTTGTAATACTTAAAGGTAATTTGTTATACATTATTATTTTTAGATAAATACCCTGTTTTTGAACTTTTTTTAGTTTTACCTTTGGATGACGTAACTTTTCATTATTACGTAGATTATATCGATGAAAATCACCTTTTCTTGCAAAATTTTCCTTCTGTACATGGATTTCCAACAAGCTATTATATATATATAAGGAAACAACGGTCATTATTCTGTCTTTCTTAAAGTAGGCTCTCGCTCATGTACGCTTACTTACGCTATTTATAGTTCTTATTGCCCTTTTTTGTTGTTTGAGCACACTCTGTATTTCAGCAGCATTTCCCCATACTGTGATTGCATATCTTATAATTGAGTGAATATATGCATAATATACTGTAATGAGTGTGCGTTTGTCTACTAATGGCTTCAGTTTCATTAAAGCATAATTTGCACTGGCTATTCTTTTGCAAATATCTGTAATATGGTTAGAATGACAGATTGTGTAGTCTACTGTATAGCCTAGAAATTTGTTTTCCGTTGTTGTTACTTGATTTTTATTTTTTTTAGCACGATACTTCATTACGATACTCTTGTTAGTATTCATCATAATTCCGTTTGACTTGAACCAATCCTTAAGAATATCCATCGCGTAATTAATTTTATATCCTAAGTATTCTTCAGATTTGTCTCTTATACCTACGTGAGTGTCATCCGCAAATAAACTAATGTGAGACCAATTTGGCACAGCACTAGCAAGATCATTTATGTATATTAAGAATAATACTGGACCCAAAATAGAGCCTTGAGGTACTCCTACATCTATTTTGCATATACTTGAGTTGTAATTATCAACTGAGACAACTTGGCTACGGTTTTTTAGATAGCTTTCAATAATTTTTAGTTCTTTTCCTAGTAATCCATAGAATTTTAGTTTTGTTAATAAGATGTCATGTCTTAAGCAGTCAAATGCTTTAGACAGATCGCAATAAATACTGGCACACTTTTGTGATGAATCGAGACTTCAGTTTATAATAAACTAGCTTTCCCGCGCTTCGCCCGCGTGGTCCGCTGGTACATTACACTAATAAAGCTCCTCACTATATGGCGACTTTAACAAAAGTTGAAACCGGAAGGGCGCTTGTGCACTACACTGAATATTCAGATCCAACGTTCTGATTTTTTCCGGTCCTGAATGACATGAAAAACCCGGATGAGTAGCTTGTGCACTTGTCCGTTTTTTTCCGGATCGGAGCGGCACAGTTTAGGGTAGCTCTCTTTGAAGCTACATGTCAGTTATGCTAGGTACGATGAGATTTTTGAAACGTCGGTAATTGCTTGCTTTATTAATCTACGTGTGAAGACAAAGAAGACAGAAAAAATATTAGGTTCATCCCCTTACAAGTGAGAGGTACCTAAAGAATGATCTGACAGGGTCATTTTACATAAACCATAATAAATTAAGGCAGGATGAAAACATTTTATTTACTACTGTTTATATAGATGTAAAAAAAATTTTTTACTACTATCAGATGTAAATATATCAGAGAATAAAATTTTATAAAGAAATTACTTTCATAGGAATTTTGGCGAACACAGTACTTTTAATTGTTGTAACTTTTTTATTCAAGAACCGTTTGAAATAAAACTTACACTAAATGTTAACGGAAGGTTACCATAATACAATAATGAAAACTGCATTAAATCCGTTCAGCCGCTTCTGAGATTAGCGTGCACAAACAGGCACAAACAGATAAACAGACAAAATATTGAAAATTATTGTTTTGTGTTTTATTTCATTTATAAATGCCCCTCATAATAGTTTTTATCATATATCTTCAATGTACAGATATCGATAAGTTACCTTTTTTCATTATAATATACATATATTAAATTATAATATTAACATGTTAAAAACATATTAACACATTAAAAAACTGAAATTTGCAAATTTCGAAACTTAGATATTTATTGGGTTTTTAAAATTAATTTACTTTTATACATGAAAGAAAACCGGAAGGGTTGCCAAATCAAGAACGTACCGTAGTGACATCTAGTTTGATTTCAAGAACTAGTTTTTTTTTAAATAGTTCTTCATTGTAAACCAATTTCTATCAAAGTAGCTGTTTCCCCGCAACTTCGCCTTCGTAAATTACAGCCATGTCCAACGCGTATTATATAGCTTCTCGTAAATAAAAGACTTCTATAAATGGGTCCAGTAGTTTCAGAGTTCCAATGCAAACAAACAAGCAATCAAATCTTTCCTCTTAATAATACGAGTATAGAAAAAAAAATAAACGAGCAAATAAACAAAATCTTCTCTTAAAGTTGGGCGGAGGTCTTCTGTAGGTTTATTACTTCAACTTATTCTTGAACAAGTTGCTTTTGGGATTATTTATCACTTTTTAAAGTTTGAAGTCGATTCAATTTTTATTTTTATTTTAAATAACTACTTATTTTTGTCTCTACTAAGATACGAAATTTGAATTTTTGATCCAATTTTTTTATATTACATGTAAAGAATGATAATGAAGAAGTATTTAAAAAAAACGAAAGCACTAAAAAGCGCCTCTACTAGATGGCGACTCTAGCAAAAGTTGATTTTTGCAGAAAACAAATGGATAAAAGACAGTAATTTCTGTTCCTTTTAAATAACATAATATTATCAGAGCAAAATCCATTTTGACGTCATCTTTTCCTGTCAATAATCGACAGAAATGTTTGTAGATAATACTTCCATCTAGTAATATTTATTTTAATAGGAACTTTCTTTTATTCATTTGGCAAAATATTATTTTCTAGTGGTTTCATGGTACGAGGGGTCTTTAGAGCCAGTGCTCATGGTACATGGGCGACTAGATAGCGCGGCGACATTCTTTCCTCTAGTGGCACAGTTACCTAGGAATCGGCAGTATGTCGCCGTTGATCTACCAGGGAACGGGAGGTCGGATGCATTCCCAAAAGGTATAAATACTAAAAACGCAAAGTAAAAGAGGTTATAATGAAGATCATATTGCATTTGCATTATCCTCAGGTATTATGTATTTGAGAACTAGCCTCCTTATTCAATAATTCTCTGTATTTGATTCGATTTAATTTCTTCCATAGGGATGGCCTGAGCCCCAACTGGAGATTAACAGGCTGGTGGTGTGATGTGATTGAAGAGTTCGTTGATTTGTTTTTTTGTGTCATCTGGTTACGATGTAAATGTTAAGTAATTTACGCAACTGCTTTTTATTGGATGGGTGACCAAAAATTTGTTATCTCTGCACCGAGTGTCATATACCCTTAGTACTTCAACATACTGAAACATCAAGTCATCATCTTAAGAAAATTCTTGCACATATTTGTTACGATCTTAGACATGATTGCCGATGAAGCGAGGACCAACGGTAACGTGTCCGAATCACGGAGGAGTTCGAAATAACAAATTTTTGGTCACCCATCTTATGACCGGCCAATGCGAAAGTATCTTAAGTTCTGCTTCGCGGACTGAATGCAATATCAAGTTTCTCGCATTCTTCACTGACTTATAAATAAACTCTTATTGAAAAAATCTCATAATTAGAATTAAATTATTATTGCAAAATTCCAGGTTTGCCAATAAAGAGATTTGATTTCATAACCGCAATCGACTTCGTGGTTCGTCACATGGGCTGGAAGAGTTTCGTGTTTCTAGGACACTCAATGGGATGCGAGATAGGTAAAAACTTGGTTAAAACCGATCCCTTAAACCTGTGTTTTTCAACCATTTTGAACACACGACCCTTTTCATAGTTGAAAAATTCTGACGACCCCCTTGTGGGCTAGGTAGCTTTTCAATAAAGTTCTTTTTGAATCCTACTGGTAATTAAAAAAAAAACAATATTAATATTACCAGTAAGATCGTCTCGCGTTCCACAGGTACAGCCAGCGGCACTGTCAAACTTAATTTTAATCCTAAATATATTGTTGGTAGAGTTCAAAATCAATTGGGGAAATTTGACATATTGTGGTAGCCTGCCGTGCAGTCGTATGTACATATTTTTTAACGTTTCAGGTTTATATTACAATGCTGTGTGTCCTGGCAGGATAAGTAAATTCGTACACTTAGACGCGGGACCCAGTTTTCAGCTGTTGCAGCAGCCAGACTTTCAGTTTTACTATAAAAATTACTTTCATAAATACTATTCTAACTATGACAGGTAAGTTTTTGAATTCGTTACGTACCTATATATTTCAAAGAAAAGGAGATGCCTGCCCATTCATCATCATCATCTGCCCTTTTACGTCCCCACTGCAGGAGCTCAGGCCTTCCTTATGGATGATTAAAGAGGATGGGCCATGACCCTCCACGCTGGCCCAATGCGGATTGGAGGGGATTAACAACTGCAAATGCAGCCGGGACCAACGGCTTAACGTGCCTTCCGAAGCACGGAATAGCTCGAGATAATCATTTTTCGGTCACCCATCCCGTGACCGACCCTTGCGAAAGTTGCTTAACGACAACGATCGCGGGCCGCGGCGCTTATCCACTACGCCACCGAGCTACTCATGCCCATTGGACTATGATTTTTGGTATCATCTTGGAACATGCTTTGCCTTTAAGTAACTTGCTTAACTTTGAAGGTCTTATCTCAAATCATCAACAGCCTATTTATTAATGTTTCCACTGCATGGGGTACCACAAAGATGTGATAAGTCCCAAGACACTTTTGAGCTATTTGAATGATAGAGAGAGTAACAGCAGCAAGAAGTCTCAGTATATTGTTGGATGAAGAACTACGTTTTGAAAGACACGTGGCTGAAATTTTTAATAATTGTTATTACAGACTAAAGGTTTTTATAGGTTTTCGTAGACATCTCAGTGTGGATATCAGAGATACTATCAAAGCTGGATTATGGTGATAGTGTTACTGGTGAATGCTTGCTGAACCGTACAAAAAATCTAATACAAAGTGTTCAGAATGCATATGCTAGGTTTTGTTCCCAATCCCGCGCAGGTCCATTTCTGAATAAATACAACTTAACGAATATGGAGTAAGGACATAACCTGCATTTTGCGAGCTTGCTCTTCGTTGTCATTAAGACTCAGAACCCTTCATATTTGTAGGACAGGCTTCTATTTTCTAACCGCACAATTACAACCGCTTTGAGTTCGAAATATAAAACAGTTGCATTCCGTGGCAGTTTTAGCTGCAACTTAAAGTTTTGTAACGTTTAAGATAAAATTTAAGGGTTAGCTCATAAAAATTCAACGATCGAAATAGCTGTGTACACTAATATTGATGCTGTGTTTGCTAATTATTATTGTTAGTTTTATTATCATAAATATTTAATTAATCATCATAAAATTATTAATTTGTCTTCACTTAGTTTTTAATCTTATTTGAAGATTTTAATTATATTAATGTAAAGCTTGTAAGCTGATGAATTTGGACAATAACTTTATAAGTGTGTCTTGTAAATGTTATGTGATTGTATGTGGTGCTATACGTGCACCTCCTTATTTTATTATTATTAATTTGTTTATTTATTTACTTAAGGTATCCGCTGAAAATCAGCACCGCAGCTTAAACACTGCGTGCATATTACCGAGCGGAGACATTTTTAGTACCTAATTTTGAATGATCTATACTATTAATGTTATGTACTTGTAATTTGGTACTAAATAAATACTTTTCTATTCTATTCTAATAATCCTTTTTGACCAATCAACGGAGTCTGGGTTGGGCTTTAGTACTAGGCTTGTTTTTTTGTTTTTAGTGAAAGATTCTTTTTTTCACTTTTTCCTTTTGTTTTCACACAGTCGGGTTTTTGTTTTTTATCATTAAATTTTTATTTTATACTTTTTAGTTCGTTCTCATTGACTTCGTTATTAGAACTATAAGACGGTAAATTTCGCAACCTTGTCATTACATTGATATAAAGCAGAGGATTATAAAGCAAAACTACTGATTATTAGTCCCTCTAGAGACCTCATTCGGCTCAAAGTTACATATGCTTGACCTTTAGCAAAAATTCGCGAACTTCAGTCAACCACAGCTCGATCCAAAGTAGTTCTTGGCACTTAAAAGCTTAATAATTTACGAACTGATCACTATATCTAAAAACGGTCTTTGCACACTTCTTATATTTTTGAAAGACCTATCCAAAAATATCCCACATATGGGAAATAAAAAAGTATATCCTCACAGGGAGGTATCCAAAAAAGAATTTTGACGTATAAATCATAAAAATTGACCAAGCCATTTGATCTCTACGATGCCATATAGCAACAAACATACATACATAGACTCATAAATACATTACCCTCCTTTGCGTTGTGCAGTCGGGTAAAAAACAAATACTATTTATTATGTCAGTCCGATAAGAGAAATATATTAGATACATTGTATATATTTTTTTTCAATTTAACAAGAAATGGCTAAGCCACAACTATGTAGAAAATGTCTACGCTCCATGAGGTCGGATTTTTATATTACCATATTTTTGTAGTGTGTGTTTTTTCTTTTATTCCAATTAGAGATTTAGAATAATATTCGTCCCACCCATAGTCTACGTGTTTTAACTTTCCCTATCAGCGGGCTTGTCCCTATTGTAACAATATGTATGAGAATTTGATATTTAAATATCTTTGCAGGTATAATGGTGATACTTCAAAATTGTATACTAAACGGCAAGCGCTAGATGCAGTAATGAAGGTGAGAAAACTAACTGAAGCACAAGCAAGTATAATACTCTCTAGGGCTCTTATACAAATAGGAGAAGATAAGTACAGGTGATTATGAGATCATTTTATGGATTAACTTATATATAATATTAGTTTACACTATAGTCAGAGGGCCTGTGTTTGTCCATAAACGAAAATACGGAAAACTTCGAGTCTTTCATGATTTTATCATAGTAAGAAAAATATGTTTATTCAAACAAACTTGTTTCAAGCTTTCAAGCACTTTTGAATCACTTTGTCCCGTTTAGGACGTCTTTTAGCTGGTAAGTAGAACGAGCAAGAAGCTCATCAGCTCTAATGGAAATAATGATGTTCATAAAAATCTTGTCAATACCAGATTAATACAATAATATGAAGTCAATTTTGTAAAGTTTATTAACTGTAAGAAACTGACGGCGACGTATCTATGTGTCTATTTACTTATTAATTTTATTTTTTATTTGAGGTATACGCACTGGTGCCACATGTCCAGCCTAGCCCTTAACCTATAGTACTTAAAACTTCAAGTTTCATTTTACACAAAATTTACAGTTGAACCAATTTTCAGATTGTCATGGGACCCACGAATGAAGTTCGTCGCTCCATTAAATATAACGAACGATGTCAATATTCACTTATTCACAAGAAAACAGTTACCATCTCTACTGATCAATATGAGCAACGGCCACGGCGGCCATTTAAGAGGCAAAGATGGCGCCGATCAGCTGATCCAAGCCCAAATGGCGGCCGGAAATTTTCTAAAAATAGATTTATTGGGCGAACACGATCATCACGTGACTGATCCTGATGAAATAGCGAAATATATCGTAGGTTTTTTAAATAATAAAGATTGTAATATTAAATCTAAGATTTGAAGTGTTATATTGTTTAATTTTATTCTATGACTTTCTGAATGTCATGCTGCGATAACAAAGGTATTTGCGGTAATGTCAAACAATGTACATATGCACTTTGTACATTGCGCTACGTTTTTTCTCTAACCTTTGTTCGGTACACCGGTAATCTTGTTGAATGATAAAAATAAAAGTACACAGTAATGTCTGCGCAAATAGTAAGCAGGTCAATATAATTCAATTTATTTTTGTTATCTACTTATATCTAAATTACAACTTTGATAAAACTAATATCTATAGGTACCTACTTATGCATGAATCGCAAAAAATCAACCTAGTGTAGGTACAGGTCATTTGTTTTTATATTATTTAAACATTAGCCTTCGATTTTTTATTATTATAAAATGATGGATGTTACCAAGTGTTTTGATTTATTTGAATCTAATTCGAATTAATAAAAAATGGTATAAAACTAAATGCTCCATCCTCTGTTGCTATCAACTCATTTAGAAGCACGATGACATCGTCTCGCTTTACGCCCAGCCTTAATGACAGATTAACATCAAGAAAGTATTGTAAAAACAAAACTATTAGAATGTGTTTTGATCAGCTTTGCTAATCTAAATATATATATCTCAAAGGTGACTGACTGACATAGTGATCTATCAACACACAGCCCAAATCATTGGACGGATCGGGCTGAAATTTGGCTTGCAGGTAGATGTTATGACGTAGGCGTTCGCTAAGAAAGGATTTTGATCAATTCTATCCCCAAGGAGATAAAATAGGGATGAAAGTTTGTATGAAACTTTGCCAATTTTAAACCGATCGGGCTGAGACTTTGCATGTATAAAACTACTATGACGTAGGCATCCCCTAAGAAAGAATTTTGATCAATACTACCCCCCAGGGGGATAAAATAGGGGGTGGAAGTTTGGATGAAACTTTGTCAATTTTAAACCGATCGGGCTGAGACTTTGCTTGCATAAAGCTACTATGACTTAGGTTAGGGGATGGCTACTTTACCACGCGGACGAAGTCGCGGGCAAAAGCTAGTCTGAAATAAAATTGGCGTTAAATTCGACGTAAAAAGCACAGCGCTGTCACACTAGGTTAGTATTAGATAGTAGATTAGTAAAATAAAACTATATTTATCTTTGAAAGTAAATCATGTTAGATTGATCTTTAGTGACAGCACTGTAATCGACGTTGTGGTCGATGCTGAATATTTTACAAAACAACACTGTGGAAGTGCCGAATTTTTTATAGCAAAGGCATCATGCCACGTTTCCATCCAAAGACTTCATCCAGGCTGGCAAAAAGTTAACGAACAAGTATAGTACATAATATTTATAATTTAATAACAATAAACTAATAAATAATCATCTTGGAAAATACTTCTCAAGCATATAAAATGTGTGAAGTAACTTTTTCCCCAACATTATGTTGATTGATAGAAAAATCTTATCTTAAAGTAGAGCTATAACAGATAGAACATACAATATAGCCATTGTTGACTTTGAGATAAGGCCACTCGATTATTCCAAAATAAGATATTGTAATCTCACTTTTAAAGTTCCGTAGTAAACAAGGAATCTTTAGTTCCGCCATGTCCGTCTGTACGTCCGTGGTTTAGCTCGCAAACTATTGGTATTTAGAAAGCTGTATTTTAGCATGAGCGTTAATGAAGCCGACAAAGTGGTAAAAGCAATATATATAAAAAAAAATTTAGGGTAAAGCAGTGATATTTTTTTTTCGTCTTCCCCATGGTGTGAGGCATCGTTGGATAAGTCTTTTATGTTTATTGATTTAGTAAACTGTTTGTGATATATTCTAAAGTGGGCCGGGACCACCCTGCCCTCCCTAGCTACGCCTATGAATACAAGGAGCACTTAAAAACACTGGCTAAATAAAAATAATGAATTGGTAAACCGAGTAATTCAGCCGAATATTCGGTTCGGTAAAAGTTAAACCGAATTCTATTCGATATTCGGTGCACCCACTATGCGGCTAGACTTTAGTTTATACAGGTTTAAGGCCGATTTAAACTAAACGAGCGAATGTTTATTCTATCCCTATTCTATTTAATTCCTTTAATGTAAAAAAATTTAGAAAATTCGCTCGTTGTTCTGTCTGCGTTCGCAAAGATTCTATGGAACATTCTAAGAATGCTCGCTAAGTGTAAAGCATGCGAACAAATGCTTATAGCGTTGATGTGTGTTCGGACACGCTCGCTCATCGGAGCGGTATATTCAAAGCGTTCTTGTGTTTTAGTGATTTAAGTACATATAGCTATCGATTAATGAGTAATGAGCATTCATTTGGTCTAAACATTGTGCAGTATTCTAGTTCTTGGTTCGAAAGGAAAAATAATACTTGCTCGTTAATGTTCTTTTGATGTAAACGCTTATAACGAGATTTCGTCTACACTAGATAAGCAAGACATAATTCTCGTGTTTTTACTCTAGCTCTTTGTTCGTTTGGTTTAAATACACCTTTATAGGTATGAATATCATGCTACGCGTTGTAGGTGCTGCATAATAATTAGGGATGACGCGATACCAACTAGGTAACATGAAGTATCGATATCTTCTCAGTATCGAATGAAAAGTGTCGACACTTACTCGTATCGAATAGTTTCAAAATGCCTACCATAGTCGTTATATTTATAGATTTTTAGAGCAGATAGACAGTATGAAACTATTGATAGACAATAGCAATACTCTGTTTACGGAAGATACAGTTAGTTGTACAAATGTTCATTATATTTTTCATTGGTTTAAAGCGACACTATCCATACTTTGACATACATTAGAGCTTAAAGGCGTCGTTAAACCTTAATGGACTTTTGTGCAAGTGACCTAAGAGAAGCAGATCCAGGCATTAAAAGCGATACACATAGTAAGGTATCACTTTAAAATTTTGTTAGCAGGGCCAGGCAGATCTTTGACTACGTAAATTAGTAGGCAGTGGCGTAACTACAGGATGGCAAGTTGGCAAAATGCTACGGACCCCCGGCTGGAAGGGGCCCCGGTCAGAGGAGACTCCTTACTCCTGACATTTATTATTAGGTACGTAACTAATAAAAAAAATGAATATCCGATGAATTTGCCACGGGCCACAAATGGTATAGTTCCTGTCGTATGACAATAATCTATACCAACTATAATAGTATGGTATAGTTGGTATAGCTTATTGTCATACGACAGGAACGCCGCGCCAATTGGGATTTTTCATGAAACAGACTTTAGACTCCTTTGTCTAGAGTAAACATTCGAGCACGCGAGTTTTTTGACTCTCCTGAGTAAGTAAGTGACCAAGTATCGAAATAAGTACTTACTTCACGACACAACTCATTATTTGCTTCTAAAGTATCGATACCAAAATAATTTGTATGGAAAGACAGTATCGAGTATCGAGTTGTATTTACTCGTATCGTGTCATCCCTAATAATAATAATATCGATACGTAACATAACTAACACTCATATCTAATCGTAACGTCGGATGATGTATATAGTTATATTTTTAGGTTATCTTAAAATATAACTATATACCTTTATTGTATTCTCGTAAACAGTCTACTGTATAAAGTTACAGATTTGACATGTTGAAAGTTATATTTTGGTTAAAATAAAAACTCGGTGATAATGTTCTGTAATTATTAATACCAAGTATTTAATCAAAGATTAATGATTCATAAACCTACGGATGATGAGGTGCCTCCCTAACAGCTGAAAAAAAAAATAATGCAGTCGCTAGGTTTAATACCAAGGTAAAATATTAATTATGTACCTATGTGATAATGTATGTCTTCTTTGAGAGTAAATTCTTCAAACCTATTATTTATTACTGATTTTTTTACCTGATAATGCATTTTTCATTGTCACTTTTTTGTTTTTTTTTTAGTTTTGAAGGTCGTCATGTCAATATCTGATTGGCACTGTAAGGTTACCATCCATTTTATACTTAAATAAGAATATTATTTCTGTAATATAAATACTACTTTTTTGTCTAGGGCCGTCTAGTACATGGTTGATGGTTGTTAAAAAGTTTTCTTTATACTGCACTGCAAAGTATAATACGGAAGTCAAATAACATAATGTATAGATATCTTTGCAATTCGTTTTTAGGTTCTCCAAGTTAGCACTTAATAATGAAAAGGAATTGATTTTGAAAGTGCCATGGGGTAAATTGACAGGTAATTCAGAATTATAATATTATTAAAATAATACATAATAATTAAGAAATAATGTTAGGACCACAAAAATTTGCCCCTCTTACGGTCAGTTGCACAAACGTCCATTAAGGTTTAATGGCGCCTTTAGGCTCTAATGAATGTCAAAGTTGTATGGGTAATGTGGCTTTAAACTAATGACAATTTTAATGGATGTTTGTGCAACTGGCTATTAATTATTTACACTTTTACAGTAGTTAATCGATATTTTATTATAGATGATGACAGACAAATTACTACCAACCACAGATCAAATCATAGAGATTTCTTAACAGTTGTACATATTGTTGGGTAACTAACATTAAAATATGAAAGAATATTTTTAGTTTTACTGAATAAATAAATATGTTTGGTATCATTATGGAAGCAGAAATTTGTTATACATATAGTTCAAAAACAAAATTTTGGTATTTTTACGTACCCACAGATATTTCAACCCAATTAAGGTAGTGTGAGTTGGACACTCACAGCCAATTGCGCAAAAGTCCATTTATATTACTATTAGTTTAATGCGTCATTACCGATACAAAAATGATGTTCATTAGAGCTAATAGGCGTCATTAAACCTTAATGGATGTTTGTGCAACTGGTCGCCAGTCACAGCCTCCTGATTGTCAATTGAAATCCTCGCCCACGCCCACGTTTTACACCTATGAAGCTCTGTTCAATGTAATTTAATAAATTACAGCTTTGTGCTGGGGCGAGCCTTCAGACCCGCCTGTATTTCTATGCCAAGGTCGCCTGGATTCTTGCTCATCTTTCCGTCCCCTGGTACAGCGTCTGCCTTCTCAATACTTTTACGTGAGCGTCGATCTACCTGGTAACGGTAAATCAGACCATTATCCAAGAAGCGGTGCACTCCATGTGATCGACTTCGTGCCCCCTATTGAGAAGATTATAGACCATTTCAAATGGAATAAATTCACTTGGGTTGGGCATTCGCTGGGTGCAGCAATTGGTAAGGATTTATGATATAACTTCATGTTAGCATGGAGGAAACATGTCCTCATTGTCTTCTTATCTTCAGGGAAAGTTCTGAATCAACTCCAACCGGGTCAAATTACTCGAATGGTCGATGTGGATCCTGAGCCAGCATACTTACCCAGATTGAATGATCTGTCCTTTTGGTACAAGGACTACTGTTCAGTGAAATTTTGCGGTGCCGATGATCACTACAAGCTGAAACTTGGACCAGAGACCGCGCCTAAGTATACATATGAGGATGTAAGTAGTATGGCACTTCTGTTTAGTAATCTTTATCGTCCACTTTGCGACGACATAGATAATCTGCAAATTTTATATTGAGATAAACAATATTGTACAAATGCATTGTCACAGAGTGGATGACAAAGATTATAAAACAGATGTGCCATAGTATTCTTACTGACGTACTCTTAAAGTAGTTTTATATATACATTGTGAATTCGTCGTGTAATGTCCTTTTCTATCTTGTCCTAGAGAGTATGAACTTAATATACTTGATTAACAGTGCTAGTCTTTTTCTTCTCTTTTTATATACCTATGAGTAGACCCATGTAGTGATTCGTATATTGTTTATGTTTATATAAATGAAATTAATGTCGTCAGGTTCGCAATAAAATGATGAAAGCTAGAGGGGCAAGTGAACATATAGTTGAGCATGTATTGGAACGATGTTTAGAGCAAACTGACGATGGGTTATACAGGTAAAGACAAATTAGAATTGAGCAAAGATTTCTATGTATACTACTAGACAAGTATTTTCGAACTTAAATTATATTATTAGTAAAAAGTAAGCGAGACAGCAACAACAATATTTTCGGTAGCATGTTAAACAACTAATATCTACTAGTCGTGTAATATGCTCGCATTAATATTTTTTGGGGCAATTAAAATAAAACATAGCTACGCAATTAAACTACTTGATATCACGTAAACAAAATTCACACATAAGCAATGACAACGTCGTGTCAGCACATCAGTAAATGAAATTTACTCAATTACAACTTTCGAGGCGCATTAACCATTAAGACAGCTTGCTCGCAATCTATCAAAAGTACAAGAGTACTTTGCAAAGTTGCAATAGACTAAATGATGCCGCTATGTAACGGCACCATCGCGATTATTTTACATTCTCTCTCTGTTTTTCTCGTACACATAGAAGTCTTTGTAATAGACTATTATTAATAGTTAAAAAAAAAATGCTAACATCGTTTCACTCTAAAATTTTACCACAATCGGCATAGGTTTGATTGCAAAAGATAGTTAAACTAATATCTACACTATAAACTTCTAACTAGACTGCAATATGCACGGAGGCTGAGTTTGAAGCACTCCCTGCTGAAACCGAGGCCCTCTCACACTAGCTTTTGAGCGGGACGGAGCGGATGAAGGTCACTACCACAGAACATAGAGAGAGATTAGAAGTATAATGATATTAATTTAGTATGGGAACCGAGTGTCGCCTCTCCGCACACAAATACAGATTAGATGAAATGATCATTTTGTTCACTACATGAAAAACCGCCACGCGATAGGTTCGCGATAACATAAATCAAATCCCAAAAAGATCCTAAGCTAAGAAATCACACGATTAAAAACAAACTCTAATTCAACGTGATAATAAATAATTTACTTTAACATGAATGTTGAACTGTCACGTGGCTGTATATGGGGATACCAGAAGGAAAAAAATATTTTAAGATTATGCACATTTAAAAAAATTGGGGTCATCATTTTATGTGCGAACTATTAATATTAGATTTTGCTGTAACCAAGTGAATACTGAAAAATTAAGGCTTTTCCCTACATAATTTATTAAAATATCTTTTAAAAAACGCAGTACAAAAACTAAGAAAACTTAATGATACACTCTATCGTATGTCTGTGGAGTAATATAATTAAGCGAGGGAAAGTGTAAAAAAAAACAAAAATTAAGAAAACAACAGAATTTTTGTATTAATTACATTAAGCCTAATTTGTATTTTTTTCTTACTGGTATCATTCCGATTGTGCATATTAGTGATGTGACATATTAGTTGATAAAATAAGAGCTTTAAATTTTGTCATGAAACAGTTCAATGTAATTCAGTTCGACAATTTTCTACAGTGGTTTGATAGTAATTATTTAAAGCTTTATTCAAATAAAACGAAATACATAAAGTTTGCATTACCTAATGTGAGGCATGTTAATATACTTATAAATGTAAATAGTGAAAAAGTTGAGATGGTGGAATCGACAAAGTTCCTTGGTATTTTGGTATATTGATAATTTGTCAAGTAGACTGAGTTCTGCAGCATTTGCTGTTAAGAAAATTAGACTCTTAACAAATGTTGAAACGGCAAGATTGGTATATTTTAGTTATTTTCATAGTGTAATGAATGACGTATAATCTATTGTTATGGGGTTCTGCGGCTAGCATTCAAGATATTTTTATTCTACAAAAGAGAGCTGTCCACGCTATATATAATTTACGGTCTAGAGAATCTCTCAGAGAAATATTTAAAGAAATAAATATTTTGACTGTTGCCTCTCAATACATCAATGAAAATATTATGTACGCAAGAAAACATTACGATTCCTTCACAAAAAAAGTAGAAATAAAAATAAACTTGCCATTCCAAGTGCTTGTAATAGCCTTCTTGAATAAAGATATTTTCATTTCATTTCATAATAACTAATATGATCATTACACTAATAAATTGATCATAGCCATGTTTGTTTTACTTTATTATTCTAAATTTTATATCTGTAATAATAGTAGTAGCTACATTATTAATTGCAACGACTGGACAATAAGGAATTGCTGGTCAAGTATGAGTTTGAAAGCCGTGACAAAAAAAGTTTGAAGATAGACACAAAAGCGATAAGTACGTACAAACGTCAATCTACATATAAAGTCACATCCGTTTGAGACATGCGTCTATAAACTTATGTGCAAATATGGAGCAACAAAAAAACTGATAAAAGCTGTTCTGTGGGCGGTTCTTTACAGTGGCTTTCTTAACTCGATTTCTATAATAATAGTTTCCGATTATGAATCAGCATAATAAGGTAAATTAAATTGACGCCTAAAAATTAATTTAGTAAATTAAATTCACACCACCAACAATATTACGTTAGTTGAAAACATAATTTTTTCTTTGTATAGATATTATGTTGTTTTGAAATTCATTTGATAGGTTTAGGTCTAAAATAGATAGGGCAAAATTAATTATGTAAACAAGGCAATCCGTTGTAAAGTTATTAGGGAAACTGAAATATAAGTAATGCAAAATAAGTGAAATCCAATTTCACCAGTTTCTAACAAGACCTATTAGGCCAACTCTTAGCTTTTCACGAAGTTTCGTTTAATTTATGTATTGTTCATAAAACGGTGATATACTTCGTAACTTAGATATTTATAGCACATCAGTAATTTTTAATATTTATCTGCGTGTAAATAATTAACCGAATCTTCGTAAAAAAGTGCCTGGACAGTTCATTATTTCATTTGTTCAGTATCAGTTCATCTATAATTTTCCCTTGTAAACAGTATTTTTTAGTTTTATATAATTATGGCATATATTTATCGATAACGTTGTTATGAAATGATGAAAGAAAAGCTCTAAATAAATATGTTTTAGTTATCGATTACGATCCATATAATTAACAATACGATTCCGAGCAGCAGCAGCCTATCGGTACATTTCAGACAAATGGAGGCACAGCACTATTTTTTGCAAAAGTGCACAAAATGATTTACATTGCTGTTTAGTAATGGGGTCAGAAACATTGATGTTGGTTTGAGCAATCAATGTATATTTTATTTAACATTGTGTCAAATTATTACGTTTTTTATATTTTAGCACTAAAATTGTACTTACCAGTGAAAGGAAATGTTTGCATTAGTTAGATTGAATACTTTGCTTTGCTTTTTGCAAGTGATAATAGCACAAAACGGCATTTTTTATAGAAAAAATCTGTAAAATCACCACTCGACGATTGACGAACGACTAGCAAACGTAAAACCGAGGAAAGGGCGTCATATGAGTAAAAGCGCATATGCCAGCGACGCGTGCCCCGCCCACTTACTACTTCTATTCTCTCTCTATGTTCTGTGGTCACTACCGCCGGTCACCCGAAAGGAAGGTCACTGTCAATCGATTGTGACGGTGCATAAAGCATTCCCCTAAATTAAAGAAAGGCTATACAATATGCATTAATATTTTGTTTATAAATTTCAGGTTAACGTTTGACCAGCGTTTTAAATTCCTGTTGCTCCCTACATTTCTATACGATAGCCTCCATGAATTCTATACATCACCTAAAACACCGACTCTGGGTATTTTTGCAACAGAAAGCATTGCAAGAAACTGTTATAAAGCGTTTCCGTTCGCTTTGGATGATAAAGCTTGGAGACACGGAAATTATAGACATATCGTGTTGGAAGGAGGTCATGATCTTCACCTGCAGAAACCTGAAGACCTGGCTGAGCACATTGCAACATTTTTGAAAGATAATCCTGAAAAAATTGTAGCCAAATAAAACGAAATTTAACGTTATTCTATTGTCACCATTTATCATGTATACTTTGACATAATAAATACTCTTTTGTTGATAGAATTAAAACAAAGTTTGTCAGGATTAAAACTAAATATAGTCTAGTTTGTGCCAATAGGATTACCACCATTGTTGTAATTAGCGCAATACTCGAAATAAAATATAAAACTGAAGTACATACATTTATGCATTAATACTATTACTTTAGGGTATGGGTGCTCATTCTAAAACTCGTGTTTTTAATTGAAATATTAAATTGAAGTTCATAATTCATATCACTAATGTAAAGATTTACTTGAATGTTATATATTTTAAAATAAATTATTAAAAACAGTACCATTTTGGTTTGATTCGATTAAGTTTTAAATCTAGCACAAAAATTTGACATTTGTCTTTTTCCTATTGCAATGCTGTTGACTGTACGTAAAAAATCGATATTATTAATTATTATAAGCAATAACAAGTCCTGCCTGCCTGACATCGGCTATTCTGTAATAAAAACAGCCAAGAACTCGACATCGAGCACTGCGTTATCACCACAGCATAAAGCTTCAATGAAATGATACCCTTATTGGTTACCTCTTGAAGTAGGTAGGAATTTTGATTTCCTCGACGTCGAATTCAACGCTGTTGAAATTTTATTAGGTACAGAATAGTACCTACTACCGAAAGTAATACTTGTTAAATAAAAAAACAATTTCAATTCGTTCAAAAAATTTACTAGTGTCGGTGGTCTGCTACATTTTTACCATATTCCCAAAATGTGAAGATCTAACGATGGAAATTGGCCTCGCGTAGACCCCCGTTGAATCCCTTGTGGACCCCTGGGCGTCTACATATTCTTAATGAAAAATGCTTAAAAAATCCACTCTGTCCCTGGTACTCTGAGATGGAATTCGAACGCAACACCTTTCGCAATCCGGGCAAAAATTGTCACGACCTCTTAGGCTAGGTATATTTGCGGCGCCGGGGGGCGACAGAGCCCCGTTGGTAGCGGGATCGAGAGTGCTGCGAGGGGGCCTGAGGGGCAGCCTTGGGGTAAGCCCACAGGAAGCCCAGGTGGGAGGCCCGGGCGGCACTCTCGAAATGGAAGGAGGCAAGGGGGGTGGGATCGCGTATTAACGCATCCCTCCCTTCTGCGGATCGGCGGACGAGGGCTGACACCCCACCCGCACCCCCCTGGGATTAGCCCACGGGGACGATCCACCGTTTGGGAAAAGGCTGTTATTCACCCAAGTCTTTTCCTTCCCGCAGAGGGCGACTCCTCTTCCCCCCGAGAGGAGTCCCAGCGCGGCGGAAGAAACCGGGCCCTCCTTGCAGGATACCGGGTTCTTCCTATCCGTGTGAGGTGAACCGCAGCGGGTTTTACCAGGTAGGCCTTTCACACCAACCTGCCTTTTTTAGGGCGGGGTGGAAGGAGAGCCCTGGTTTGAGACTTAAAGTGCATTTCCCCTGCGTTAACAAAAAAAAAAAAGGCTAGGTATATTTAGCGCGTTTTGTAGCTGTGTATGATGCGTCAGCCAATGGTATCGGCAGCAATTAGGCAAAACTTGAAACACCTACGTTACAGTGTAATTTGCATTTAAAATATCTTGTACATATACGTATAACGTAAGGGGTTGGTGTATGTCTCGGGATTTAAAATAAGAGTAGAAACGTTTTACGAATCAACTCAGATCAGTGGAAACACAAATATTAAAGCGGTTTGGTAACGCGTGAGTCGCGGCCGTAGACGGTTCTCGGCGGATATTGTAATAAGGCTCATTTTCGCCTGGAGTTACGGCAAAATTGCCGCTCTTTGGCGGTAAACGGAGCCCGCGTATTTTAAAAAAAGAGTGAGTTGTAAAATTTGTGCTAACCATCGCATTACACATATTTATTATGTATATAAACTCTAGCTGTATAACTTATATAGCTAAATAAACTATTGTATAAATGTTTGCCGGGTAAATGTTATTTTGCCATATAAATTTGGGGTGGACTACCCTTATTACCATCAAGGAGTATAAAAATAGATAACAACCTATTTTCAGACCTTCTGAATATACCTAATTATATATAAAATTTCAAAATCGGTCAAGTTATTTCGGAGGAGTACCTTTGGTGACAGGAGATTCTTATATAAATGATTTTATTATATTGAAATATTAAATAGTAGGGGTTAAAGTATAAAATTTCCTTTTTTTTCCATAAATTGTATTAGGTTCCTTGAATTGACATAGAATCTTCATGGTTTGAGGTTTTCGAAAGAAACTTTTTTCACATGGATTCTATGATGTTCTTCTTGTAAAAAATGTGAAATATTTGAATATCGACATTCAATTGTTTTTGTTATTCAACTTACATCCAGTTGCACAAACGTCCATTAAACTGGTCATTAGTTTAAAGCAACATTATCAATACAAACTTGACAAACATTAGACCTTAAAGGCGTCATTAAACCTTAATGGCCGTTTGTGCAATTGACCGTTAGACAAGAAAGATGGATACTGCGAAAATTCGAGTGATTTTTGAATACGAGTTCCGAAGAGGAAGTAACGCAGCAGAAACAACCCGCAATATCAATGTTGCGTTTGGAGAGGGGTATGCTAATGAATACACCGTACGATTTTGGTTTAAACGCTTTCGTGATGGAAACTTCGATTTGACGAACGAGCCACGAGGAAGACCGCCCACATAGGTGAATAACGATTAATTAAGAGAGATGGTGGAAGCCGATCCTACTCAAACTACCCAGTAATAGGGAATATGCGTTTGATTAAAAAAGGGTTAAATATATTTTATTGCAGTCTTTATTACTTTAGAATAAAGTCTACCTTAAAATTTTTCAACATTAGTTCGTTTTCGTCTTGAAATTAATTATTACAAAAGTGCAAAATAAATGCGGTAACATTAAAATATTTAAACGCCGTGCTACTTGTCAGAGCGGATGTCACGAAAATGAACACGTATAGGGATGTCGGTGTTACAAAAAGTTAACATCGATGCAATAACATCAATGTATTATGTCGCAAAATTAACAACTGATTACAATTTAAATGATGTTTTCAAATGATGTTTCATTTTAGGCTTTTATTTTTATTCCACCAATTTGGTAAATTATACGATTTATTAAAAAAGTCTATTATACTTTAAAAAATCGATTATTTATTAATCGATTTGGGTAATTTAATAATCATCAATCACTCAAAATCCATATTGATTTAAAATGTCATATCTCTAGTCGTGTACTTTGATGTCACGACGAGCGCGCCAAAAATTCCGGTGTTTAAACCGCTCGTAGCTATTACTTATTTTCATCAACGATTATTGTTACAAAATTTTAGTTTTTCGGTGCCGGGTATTTTTTTACAGTTATATATCGATGTAAATTATCATATAAATAATTTTCCAAAAATATGCATATTCCCTATTAGCGGCATGGTTTAACGTTACCTTATCCACAATATTGACTTAATTGCGTCAAATCAATAAAATAATAAAAAAAATGATTTGACTGATCTGCAGAAAGAAACGCGTCTTGATACTTGTGTTGCCCTGTTGAATCGGTATAGAAATTAAGGAATATTGGATCGAATTGTGACATATGATGAAAAGTGGATTTTTTATGATAACCGTAAAAGACAAATGCAATGTCTAACCCCAGGTCAAACGCCACAACAGTGTCCTTTAGCAAAACTTAGCAAAAAAAGGTAATGGTAACTGTTTGGTGGTCTCAGCATGGTGTTATTCGCTATAGTTTTCTCCGATCTAGTCAAGCAATAACGGCAGATGTCTATTGTGCCGAACTCCAAAGAATGTTGGCAAAACTAGCAGTAAAACAGCCCCGACTTATGAATCGATCTTCACCATTATTGTTCCATGATATAACGTGAGACCTCATACAGCACGAGAAACCGTTTTTACCCTTCAGGAACTGCAGTTAGAATCATCCTCCGTATTTGTCAGACCTTGCTCTAACGGACTACCATTTTTTTCGTGATTTGTATAATTAATTACGTGTCAAGAAGTTTTCTTCCCAGGAGGCAGTGCAAAATGCTTTCACACAGTTTGTGCAGTCTAGATCCGCAGAGTTCAATCGCACAGGCATAAATGACCTTCCTATTAGATGGCAACAATGTATAGATAATAGTGGTAACTATTTTGATCAAATATATATGTTAAAAATTTAAAAATAAACAATTTTGATTTTCAGTACAAATATACTGGAGTTGTATTCGTTATTATCAGTTGTATTGCGAGACAAAAGAATCGAGTCGGTAACAAACGTACCCGTCATTCGGGATTCTTATTGATCTACCAACATAACAACTTTGAGCAGCATTTCTAACGAATATTTATTAATTATATCGTGTAAAATACCCGAAATAAAGTTTCATCCCATATTTTATCACCTTAGGGGTGGAATTTATCAAAATCCTTTCTTAGGGGATGCCTACGTCATAGTATACCTTTGAGTTATATATATTTAGATAACTAGTAGTGATCATGCATAGCATTATGTATAGGCCACGGTAGTGAACCGCCAAGACCGAGCAAAAAAACCAACGGAGAAAGGGTACTTACTTTTCTCGAAACTATTCTTCCCTCATAACTTCAGTTTGGATTACAATAGATACAGCGAAATTTCGATTGCATAGCTCTTACACTTTTGATTATAATGATATCTAAAAAACCTTGATTTCGGTATGTGAGATAGTATTAAGTAGTATACAGACAACAAACATTCCAAAACTCGGAACTTTTACCGTCATCCCCTTAAATTATGGACTGGAACTTTGTATGAGACTTCTACGAATTTTGATCCTAGAGGTCTGAAAATGTGTCAGGATTTTCGCCAATCACCCCAAGTCCTTTATATTAGAGGATGGAAGTTTGTATGGGTATTCCCATTTAAACTTAATTTCAAGCCAGTTGTATTATTGTATATATGTTGTACTAATTGAAAATACAAGATATTTTGTGTGTTACAAGATTTTAAGCTAAACTTACTATATTTAATTACATTATATTCGGGAAATAATGTTTGTTCGACCTTCTTTTGGGCCGGAATGGATTACTGTTTTAGTAAGATTTATTTGAATGTGATTGGGACGCTAAAGAGTGACAGTGGCTATTTTTGCAGCGACATCTTATCTCCATGAT